CGACTGCTCCAATCGTGGCAAAGTCCTCATTTCCTTGTTGCTGTTGTTCTTCCTCTTCGTAGACATCGAATTGGTTGGCGTATTGGCGATTGGGACGTCGGTCGTTCCGTCTGTCGTTGGCTCGTGCTCGGGTGTTGTTCATAATGACGTCGCCATCCTTATCTCGTCGTTCTGTAGGGCGCCATGTTTGCTGCTGCTGCCCTCCTCCCTGCTGCTGTCCGCCAGTGTGCCAGGTGCGCTGAGAGGATTGGGCATAAGTGGATGAGGCAGGTCGCCAGTAGTTGCTGCTCTGTCTGTTGGTGTTGCTCGGCTGGTTCCTCCATCCATTGCCATTGTTCCTGTTGGTGTTGTTGTATCTGTTGTCAGGTCGTCTGTCAGTCCATCCCTTCCTCTCATCATCATGCTGACTACGCTGGTCTTGACGGTCATGTTGTCTTCCGGATGGACGGCCCCTCTGCTGATGTTGACGGTCTCGTTGCTCTCTTCGCAGCTGTTTCATGCGGTCATTCGCGTTACGAAGAGCTTCTTCAAATTGCGGCCACGTCAGTGCTTCTCCACGATACGCGCGGGATGCTGACTCATGCGCCATGGTTGCCTTGAACATGTCGAATCTCTCAGGCAATGCCGATAGCATGACGGCGATCATCGTCTCGTCTGGCACTGTTGATCCGACTTCATGAAGGCGGCTGACGAGATAGCTGAAGTCGCCAAGGGCGTCGTCAAGATCGTCCTTGATCATCTTCCAGCTGAAGAATCGCTGCAAGAGCTCGTGCTTGCATACGATACGATCAGGTATGAACCGCTTCCGCAGTTCTAGATACGCCCATGCACCATTCTCGCCGTGCTTCTGGTATGCTTCTTGAATCAGTCGCTTGGCCTTGTCTGCTGTCTGCAGGGCGAGGAAGCCGAACAGCCATCGGAGGTTCTTGGCGTTGGAGCTCTCCTGCTCAATCAGGATTGGCTGTCCCTGCTGGTTCACCACGGGCTGATTATTGCCATCCATCTGTGGCACCGCTATCTTCATCGGCGGGACGTCCTCATCCTTAGTAGGTAGATAGACTTTCACATCCATCTCTCTTGCTGCCAAGTAGGCTCTGAGAGTAAAGTCCCATTCACGCCACTTGATGTCGTTCTCGCCACTCCTGCCGGTAAAGACGGGGAAGGTGGCCTTTGTCTCGAGATTGAGTGTCATCTCTGCTGTCTGCTTTGTTGATGTTGTTGTTGTCTTTCTTCAAGTACTGCTAGTAGTTGACTGCTGCTGATACTGCGCAAGACACTGATAGACCTGTTAGGATCTGTCAGTTAGCTGGCGAAGACTTCGGCTCAGATAAGCAAGAACCAAGTTGCTGCGCCCATGAGCGAAAAAGGCCGGTGAGGACCTTTCCTGTAGTTAGCTGAATAGAGGATCTGCTGGGCTTTCCTGTAGTTAGCTGAATAGAGGATCTGCTGGGCGGTAAGTCCCAGAGTAAGAGTGCTTTTACTTTAATAAGACCGATGGACTGGTCAGTCAGTCAAAGTTGTTTATGTCCGTGTATGGCATCATGAAGGGTGGTCAACACAGATCTCACTTCGGTGATGGCTGATAAGATCGTGTCTCCTCAGAATGCTTTCCTTGTCTTTCCTTGTCTTCTCCTCTCTCTCTCCGTTACACAGCAATCTACCCTAGCTCACAAGCTCGCAGTGGTTCGTCTTGCCAAGCTGGCAATCCTGACACATGGTTCAGACACTGTGCACGTGTTTGCCTTCAGTGGCCTCTGCCATTCGCAGTCTCATTCATCTGTCGGTCGGGATCATCCATTCGATAGATCTTGCAGCGTTTCTCCTCTTTTGACTGTGATCCGCTCTTCAGGTGAACCATTGTCTGCTCTGCGTCCGTGACTTCTGAGCGAGAAGGCCCGTCAAGGTAGGCCTCAACGTCTGCGAATGCTGCCCACCTCGCCCATCCATCAGTTGCTGCACGATTCCCTGTATTGTCACATTGTCTGCCTCTCAGGTACTGAGTGCACGCCATGGCTGCTCGGCCGCCACTGTCAGATGCATCGTTTCATTCGGTGACAACTGAGATGCTCCAGAATGTCATCGACGGTGAGGAGTCCGGGGGACGGCTGGACACACACGGCGAATTTCTACACGTGCTTCTCTGTGTGCATGCAGATCTCCGTCGTTCGACGGACAGAGAGCGACGGCAATACGATAAGCGCATCGAGGAGCTCGAGGCGCAAAGAGACGACTACAAGAGAGAGAGGGACGCCTACAGACGTGAGCGAGACGCTGCATTCGACAAGCTCAGAGAACTTGAGGCCAAGATTGCTGCCGATGAGCAGGCGCACAGCAACGTGGCTCGGACAGTTGTGCACGACGGCGGCCTCTACCACGGCTCCATCCGCAAAGTGGGCGGCACCGAGGTGCCCCACGGGACGGGGCTGCTGCGATCGCTGGACGGCGAGAGAAAGCGCTATGAGGGCGAGTGGAAGGACGGCAAGCACCACGGCAAGGGCAAAGAGTTCAGCCAAGACAGAGCCGTCTATGAGGGCGATTTCGTGGATGGCAAGCGAGAAGGTCACGGTGAGGAGTTCATCAACGGCAAGGTGACCTACAGGGGCGTGTGGGTCAGAGGGGAGAAGAAGGGAGCTGTCGTGGCGACGGGCATGTGGTGGGAGGGCCATTTCTATCATGGTCCCACACTCGATGGCAGACCTCACGGCGAGGGGGAGCTGCGGGACCACCATGACAAGATCGTCTATAAGGGTCAATGGACTAGCGGCCGTGGCCAAGGCGAGGAGTTCGACTCACAGGGCCGGGTGATTTACAGGGGCGAGTGGGCGGACGGCAAGCGGCACGGTCGTGGAAAGGCACTCGACGATGCAGGAAGGGCTACCTATGAGGGCGAGTGGACGGACGGCAAGCGACACGGACAGGGCAAGGCCTACTACAACATCGGTTATGGTCCTGTGTTGTGGTTCGATGGCGAATGGCGAGAGGGCCTGGCCCACAGCGGCACCCTCTTCCCTGACGGTGACCGCTGCGGACTGAAGAATGCCGACGGCATCCCTCGCTATCCCATCACACCCATTCGATGGCAGGCCGGACAGAAGATACCCAACACCAAGCTGCCTCCCAGCACATATGAATTGCATCACTTGCTGCAGAGTCAGGGTCTGTCGGGGTATTTCCCTGCTGGTGCACTGTGATAGTGAGTCTGTCTCTCGTGGCTGGCTGGCGGGCTGTGTTTTCGGATGGCTGCATTCACAAAACAGAAAGACAGATAGACAGACAGAGAGGGCTGAGTCTCTTGGAGGGCTGGCTGTTTGTGTCTGTATCATGTGTGTATGTGCACTGAGAAGCAGAGGGAGAGGGAGGGAGGGAGGGAGAGAGAGGTTGCATTGGTGGTGCCTTGTGTTCTCAGGATGCTTCTGTGTGTCATGGTGTCTGTGTGGATGCAAGTGGCTCGATTGGACACGTCTGTGTGCGCCGACTTGCTGTCTGCTGTCTGCTTCTGTGCTCGCAGTTTCTCAATGAGAGCGTCCATTGAGTCGGTTGGTGTGACACTTGGGGCCTTGAATGAAGGCCCTCACAGCGAAATGCGACGGTTCTCACCGCATCACAAGATTGAAAACATCCACGGATGCATGCAGGTCACACACGACGGTCTCAATCGCATTGCCCACACGCACACAGACAACACACCACATGCAGCAGGCAGCCAGGCGGCCAGCCCAAACAGGCTGTGTCCGTCTGTCTGTCTGGCTGCCCCACCCATGAGCGGTTCGGCTGCTCACATGAGGGATCCCTGCTTCTGCAGACGCTTCTCGCGGTCCTCCTTGATGCTGACAGACAGACCACACACACACACACACACACACAGAGACAGAGAGAGATGCCTGCTGCCCAGTGTGTGTGTGCGCTGCCGTGATGCGCACCTGAGTCTGATTCCCTTGTCCTTTGGCAGAGTGCACCAGGGCTTGGTGCCCTTGCCGATGCAGAACACATTCGCCAGGCGAGTGGCGAACTGGTGGCCCTTGGCATCCTATCATATCACAACCACACACACAGAGATTGACAGTGTGCAGTCTACGACGTGCGTGTGCGTGATGTGTTTCGGAGGCCACTCACCTTGACTTTGACAATTTCGTAAGCGCCCGGGTGCTTCTCTCGCGAGACGATGGTGCCGACACGGCCGATGTTGTGGCCGCCGGTGCACATGCACACGTTGCCGACCTCAAACTTGATGAAGTCCAACACCTACACGCACATTCGTGTCAATGAAGGCGGCTCACAAGCCAGCTGTGTGTGTGTGCATGTTTGTGTGTGGTGACTGACCCCCTTGCCCTCGGGTGAGATGTCGATGTGCAGGGTGTCGTGGACTTTGACGTCGGGATGCACATAGCGGATCGTGCGGCCGTCGTGAGTCGTTGCGCAGGGCACACCATTGGGGCCGAGATAGACCTTGACCACACGGCAGAGCTTCTTCTGCACACACAAAAACCAAAACCACACCGCACACACACACACACACGAGAGATGAGATGAGGGCCATCCACTCAGCACTGTCTGTGTCTGTGTGTGGCGTACGGCGGCCTCGCTGGGTGAGACGCTGACGCATCGGTAACGGCCCTTGGGGTCGAGCATCATCTTGAAGTTCTGCTTGGTCTTGTCGATCGTCACAGTGTCTGCGTATCACGTGACACACATACATCGTGACACACACGCACAGACATGGAGCGTTGAAGGATCCGGGGGTGTGTGTGGTGATTGATCTCACCTTGGAAGCCGACAGGGAATCCCATGTCTGTCCTGACTTTGCCGTCCACCTTGATGGCCCGCTGCATACAAATGTACTTGGCCTCGGAATACGTCAACGCATACCTAACACACATCACACACACACACACAGCATGCCAGCATGATGGACGCCCCTCGTGTGTGTGTGATGCCGTCCCTCCATTCGTACTTGAGTTTGTTTCTGAGGAGGATGATGAGCGGCAAACACTCGCGCAGCTTGTGGGGACCCGTCGACGGACGCGGAGCCTACACATCCAACACACACACACACACGCAGAGCCATCCAGCGCACCGTCACCCCTCCCCTCCCTCTGTCTGCTTGTGTGTGTCGGGCTGCTCACGTAGACTCCAGTCATTTTGTCGAGCATCCAGTGGTATGGCGAAGCCACACGCTTCATGTGCTTCTTCGGACCACGAGCCTACACCACACACAAACCACACAGACAGGCAGCGAGCCGGTGGGGCACAGACACAAGCAGGAACACGCAGATCTCTGTTTGTGAAGCACCCACACGCACTCCCACACCTCTGATCTACCCCCTCTCTGCTTTGCCTGCCCCTCCGGCCATCCCTCCGCAGACACGCAGCACCTCTCTGTCTGCCCGGATTTTCTCTCCACCCACACGTCACATCAGCTTACCATGGTTGCGAAGAGGCACCGAGAAGCGAAACACGCCACACACGGCTTGCGAGCTTAGCTGACAAGCAATCAGAAAGCTCGCAGGAGTGATTTGCCTTCTGATGGCGTGATTGACGTCATTGAGGCGTGCAGAGAGGCGTCGAGGTCAGATCGAGTGAAGAAAATGAAGCTGAAGGTGCTTCATCACGACCCGGCTGCTCATGAGCGGAAGGCCGGGAAGATCACCAGGTACTACCGCAACCCCGACCCGCAGCTCCACCCATTCGAACGGGTAAGACAGAAACAATGCGAAGAAAGTGCCTGAAATCGACTGCCGACTCATTGATTGTCTTTTGTCTGGCTGTGATTGATTCATTGTTTCTGTGTCAGGCTCGTGAGTACAATCGTGCGTTGGTGGCCACTAAACTTGACAAGATGTTCGCCAAGCCTCTGGTGGCCGTGCTGGACGGACACACAGACGCTGTCAAGTGCATGGCCAGGAGCCACAAACGAGTGGTATGCAGGAAGACAGGCATTCACTGTATGTGCCTGTGTGGATGTACGCGTGTTTGTCGCTGTTGCCTTGATTCATTCAGGCCGATCTGTTCACTGCGTCGTGTGACGGCGAGCTGCGCTTCTGGAACATGCCCACACGGACATGCACCAAGGTGCAAAACAAACGCCCACGCGCATACACACAGACAGACCGACACACACACGGTCGATCTGCCGACATGTGTGTATCAGGCCATCTCTGCCCACGATGGGTTCATCCGCGGCCTGTGCGTATCGCCCGACGACCGGCTGCTCTTTACGGGGGGGGATGACAAGTACGTCCGCACATCGAGTGGTGTGCTTGCGTGTGGGCGGCCTGGATGAGTGGACGTCTGTGTGTGTGTAGGTGCATCAAGACGTGGAAAGTGGAGAAGAATGAGGGCATGACCGCCATGGACTGGGATGAGGTATACAGACGAAGGCGGCACACATATGGACAGGCGAATACTGTGTGTGGCTGTGTGTGTGTAGGTGCTTGACGAGGGCAACCTGGTTCGGGGCGAAGAGATCGACACATCAAAGCTGGCGAAGGAAGTGCCGGTCAGTCTACAGACACCCACTCACTCTCCTGCGAACACATGTACGTGTGTATGTGTGTGTCGGTCATCGATCAGGCGTTGAATGTGTACATGGCCAAGAGTGCCGTCACGAGCCTCGACCACCACTGGAGCAGACACCTACTCGGTCACCATCGCAGCCACACACACAACAAATGCCTACACACACATCCACTCATCCCTGTGTGTGTGTGTGCAGTGTCGACAGGCGACACGGTTGACATATGGGATCACCACCGGAGTGCGCCCATCCAGTCGTTCGAGTGGGGATGCGACTCAGTCATATGCGCAAGATTCAACCCTGCTGAGGTTAATGGACATCCTACGTGTCTACGTGTCAGTGTCATGCCTCTCGCTTTCTGTGTGTCTGTGTGCAGCCGTGTCTGATCGCGTCCACTGCATCTGACAACACAGTCGGCCTCTACGGTGTGGATGAATGGATACACGCACATGTGTACATGGTGATCTGTTTCTCTGCTCTTTCGTTAGATTTGCGTGGAAGCTCACCGATAAGGAAAGTGCTCTTGAAGGTATTTGCCCACGCAGAGGACACATAAATCACATACACACGTGTGTGTGTGGCCCTCTGTGCATCAGATGCGGTCCAACGCAGTGAGCTGGAACCCCATGGAGCCACTCAACTTCACTGTGGTGCGCACACCTGCAGACAGGCACCTGACGTGTGTTGGTCCATCGGGGTGTGTGTGGAGGATGCAGGCGAATGAGGACTGCCATCTGTACACATTTGACATGCGCAAGCTGGACATAGCCCTCAACCTCCACAGGGACTTCACAAACGCCGTGTACGCATGGCATCCACACACACTCATGTCCAGGCACAACACAATGTACGTGTGGATCTCTCTCTCTCTCTCTCTCTTAGGTTGGATGTGGACTACTCCCCGTCTGGGCGAGAGTTCGTCGCTGCCTCATACGACAGAACGGTACACCCACTCCGACATCCCATCCATCTCACCTACACACAATATCCATGAATGCCTGAATGTGTGTCGTGTTTATCAGATTCGCATCTTCCGTGTGTCCGAGAGCCGCAGCCGTGAGGTCTACCACGCCAAGAGGATGCAGCGGGTCCTCTGCTGCAGATTCACTGCCGACACCAGATACGTCGTATCAGGTACGTACACATAAAGACACATGTGTGCATCCATCCATCCATGCGTATGCGTGGGTGTGTGTGCAGGTTCTGAGGACACCAATGTGAGGGTGTGGAAGGCAGAGGCGTCCAAGCCTCTGGGACCGGTCAGTGAGTGATCCCACACTGGGTGGGCAATGATATCTCTGTGTGTGCATTACATTGTGTGGTGCAGCGGCCGTTTCGCGAGCGTCAGGCGATGGCCTATCGCGACGCACTGAAGCGGAAATTCCAACACCTCAAGGAAATCAGACGAATCGCACGGTACAGACACACACACACAGGCGCGCATCTGCATCATGTGTGTGTCGATTGACTGTGTCTGCTGTAGGCATCGTCACGTGCCGTCTCTGATCAAGAAGCACACAGAGAAGAGGAGAATCATGGCGCAGGCCAAAAAGAGAAAGGTACGCCACACACAAACAAACCTGCGCACGCACAACCAGTTGTGTCACCATGTGTGTGTAGGAGGAGAATTTGCGTCGTCACTCCCGGCCTGGTGCGGTGCCCTTCGAGTCCGTCAGGAGGAAACCCATCAAGAAACAAATCGAGTAGTGACCGTACATGTGCCGTCTCTCTCGTGTGTGTATGTCGTGTGTACAGACAACATTTGTGTGTTGCATGTGGACATCTGTGGCTTTTGTTGACATCTCGCCTGAGCGAACACCGTTGTCAAATGCGTCGCACACATGACAACACACACGCCTTAAGCAAAGTCGAGACAGCGATACATAGGAAGGCCATAGGCGCACGGAGCCATTGATATATGACGTACAGCCAGTCAGCCAGCCCGAGACAGACACACACAAACATGTCCAATCGACAAGATACTGATAAGAGTGTTAAGATGGCGTGTCAGTCAATGTTAAAAACTTGAAATATCACTCCATTGACTCCAATGCACATATGGATGCGTGTGGGTCCTCAGACATATGGGTGCACTCAGATGCCTCGTAAGTAACGACACAAGGCACCAACAATACAAACACAGGCCCCCAGACACATCACACACAACAGCCAGTGAGCCAGCCAAGAGAGATACGCTCACTATCACAGGGCACCAGCAGGGAAACACACCAACACACCCCGATTCTGCAGCCACTGATGCAGACCTCCCAGCTGCTGCCCCGCCTGTTTGGGTAGCTTCTGTCCCGATTACCATCGGGTAGGGTGTGGCTGTGCTCCTACTGGGGCCAAGCTAGCACTCCCTTCGGTTCCGGTTCTCAAGCCGGGGCTGTCCCGACACCCCGACGGAGGAGGGAACGGTGAGTCAATGACGAGCAATTGGACATGAGTACGAGGAACGGCGGCGAGGAACGAACGCCTGCATCTGTGTCAGGTCAACATGCGGTTCAGAATCTTTCTGCGCCACCTGCGGGCCGACACGCTGCAACACAGGTATCGATGAACGCAAACACGACGCCTGTGAATGCCTTTCGCGCACCATCATGCCCAATCACACAAGTTCTGGGATGGGATCTCACTTCGTCGATGGGATGCCGCTTCGTCACATGCTTGCTCGTGTGGCTGTCAACTGAGTACTTTCAGGTCCATATGGGTCTCTCCACCGCATTGACTCTTTAGATGAGACATGCGACAACAACGTCATGGCATCCACACAGACCGGGGATGGTAAGATATGCCAGTCGATGAGGCCAACTCACTGGAAGGTGGGTGTTTTGTCAGTAGCTGGTCGCCTTCTTACGGACGGGTGTCCTGCGGGACTCACATGCAACGTTCCCACCTGTTTGAAGTGTATATCGAAGGGTGCTCTTGGCGGCGGGGAGTGCTATCGTGTCGTCCGACAGGGCACTAAACGAAAACCAAAAGTCAATGATAAAATCGTCGTCGACAAGTGTGACGATTGCCCATCATCACTGTGTGAGTGGAGGCATCCTAACATCTGCAGTATTCCTCTTTTATTCCTTGTCTGTCTGCAGGTCGTGAGGACGTCGATGCCTGCAGCGTACGGTGGCGTGAGTACCCCTACGGGGACGATCAGCGTAATTGGCTAGTGTGTACAATGGCCCATGACTGGCAAATGCCGTCGGTGCGCGTGGGAGATGTGATAGAATGGGTCTCCAAATCGACGGCGGCGGTCCCTTCCAAATCGAGAAGTGTGTTGGTTGCCTGTTATCACCCTCATGACTCGCTCTCTTGTGTTATCGTCCGCGATGCCTTCACTACGACGCACAACGGCATCACGGCTCGCATGGGGACCTTCCAATGCTCGGGTGTGAACAACGCCTTCGGCCACACGCTTGAGCTCGTGGACATCAAATATTATGGGAATATTCCAAGCGGCACCTATGACGGCTCTGTGTGGCGCGATGGGAGGTTCCTGGAGAAGCCTGGTATCTGGCTTTCTCACCAGATCCAGGATACTCCGTCCACGATTTGCCAAGGCACTTATGTCGAGAACTCGAATGGCTGCATCCTTGTTGGCGAGGGAATAGCGCTGGACGACGAAAAGGGGCCGATGGTGACGGCGAGTGAAGATACCATGAATGCCATACTCGAGGGGGTGGATATTGAAGGCACCAAGGAAGAGGACTGTCCCCCCCAATCTCTTACGATTCGGAATATCACTATCACAATCCACACACCCTGTTCTGAGGGCCTTCCTATCAGAGTACCTGAAAGGGGTGACATATGCTATCGCATCGTGCGGCAGGCTGAGGACTACCTATGGTACTGGGAGCGTGGGATTGTGAAGGGATTGCCGGGGCCATCACCCAAACTCACTGATACTGTCACGTTCGAAGAATGTGAGTCACAGAGACATCAGCACCTGCAGCACCCCTCTCTCCGTACATCCAACTGTCGTTGGTTGCTATCTGTCTTGTCTGGTTGCAGGGTTCACCTCAGCACCGTGGTGGCCTGCAGGCGACGCCGGATTTATGAGAGAGCGAAGGGAGGTACCCATGTCTGAGATTCCCGAGGACGATGGGATTCGCGATATAGCTCTGTCGCTGCGCGTGGGAGACAAAGTGGAGTACTTCTATCCAGAGCAGCCCTCCCCTATATTTGAAGTCCGCTTCGTGGCCTGCAGCTGCCTCTCTACCCTCTCTTGTGTCATCACCCGCGATGCATCCCCAACCACACACAACAACATCACGGCTCGCTTGGGGACCTTTCAATGCTCGGGCGTCAACAGCGCCTCCGGCCACACGCTCGAGCTCGAAAACCAACTGAAGGGGCATATTCCAACCGGCACCTATGATGGCTATGTGAGGCGTGATCCGGGATCGAAGAACCTGGGCCCTCGCATCGAGCTGAAGAATGTGGATGGCTTCGAGCGCATCCAGATTCACGAAGGCAACTACGTCCGCAACACGGAGGCCTGCATCCTCCCTGGCACACGAAGAGCCATGCATGACATAGAGGGACCGATGGTGAAGGATAGCAAACCCACCATGAAGGCCATACTGGAGGGGGTGGAGGACAAGAACACCAAGATCATCATCACAGTCCAGGGGGGCGATCAGACAACTGCTGACGCAGCGAAGCACACGGGCAAGTCATGGTGGGGCGGGGTGGCAATGGCGGTGCTCATGTGGGCGATGCTGTAGCCATTGTTCAGCTGAAGACATGGATATGCACATCCGCGGTGGGTGCGTGTGATGTGCTTTGGTACACGCATGCTGCAGTTGGTGTGTTTGGGGCGCTGCATGGTAGGGATAATCAGGCTGCTGTGCAGACAGGTTAAATGTGGCTGAGAGAGGTTTAAAGTGTTCTCGCGTATAGACTCATTCACTTTCTGCTCGTCTTTTTCCCTATGTCCCCTATATCTCTCATCGCTGAACGGAACTTTTCCTTCTACCTTTGGCGCGGGGTTTCTATCAGAGCAGTCGCCACATGTGTGCACGTCCTTGCAAGACGCTCTGCGCCAGTGTAATATTCTTTCAATCAATTTTGCAGCGCATGGAAGGGTCATGCGATTCCTCTTGAGATGGAGATACAACTCACACGAACACTTGAGATGGTGAATTGCGCAATTCAATGGATTTTTGATCGATCCAAGTACGCACTGAGCCATCCTCACACACGGACACGGAATGGAGACGTGTGTGGTGTTGTGTCTTGCGTGTGTCGATTGTGTCTGTCGTAGGCATCGTCACGTGCCGTCTCTGATCAAGAAGCACACAGAGAAGAGGAGAATCATGGCGCAGGCCAAAAAGAGAAAGGTACGCCACACACAAACAAACCTGCGCACGCACAACCAGTTGTGTCACCATGTGTGTGTGTAGGAGGAGAATTTGCGTCGTCACTCCCGGCCTGGTGCGGTGCCCTTCGAGTCCGTCAGGAGGAAACCCATCAAGAAACAAATCGAGTAGTGACCGTACATGTGCCGTCTCTCTCGTGTGTGTGTGTGTGTGTGTGTGATGTGTGTACAGACAGCCTTTTGTGTGTGTGATGCATCTGGACATGTGTGAGACGTCACTGTTAAAATCTTCTGTGATTCCTTGATGACGTCACTGGAAACAGAGGGCGTTCGTTCGAGGCATCAACACACTGAGTCTCACACATGACGACAAGATCACTCACCCACGTCTTCACCCACGTCTTACCAAACACACCGAACAGACAGACGCAAGCTCGTCAAACAGACTAGCACACTTAAAACAACGTGTTCAATCGAGCCACTGACAGAATGGGACAAAAAAGCAACCTCTCTCTCCCTCACGTCCGTCTCCCCCGGCCCAACATTGATCAAGAGATGCAGCAGATAGCAGATGCAGTCTCCCGCCCTGATGCTGCCGTCTTAGCAGATGCAGTCTCCCGCCCTGATGCTGCCGTCTGAGGAAGCGCCCCCTCAGGCAAATACCGATCCACCCAACACCTGGGTATCAGCAGCGTTTCCAGGAAGGCATGCAGCTTGACCTTGCACCCTCCCACTTTCGCGTCAGGTATTTCTTCTCCCGTCTCCCACGGGATGGGTGTCATGGGCCACACGGGGGTGCCGTCGGGAAACATCTGTCCACGGCAAGTCCCGTTTGGGAAAAGCGTCCCCTTCACAATCTGGTTGTCCCTCCATTCTCCCTCGAACCACAACACAGGACCGTCGTACTGGTAGTATGCCTTCCCCTGGCCGTGTCGCTTTCCGTCCGCCCACTCGCCCTCATAGGTAGCCATTCCTCCATCGTCGAGTGCCTTTCCACGGCCGTGCCGCTTGCCGTGCTCCCACTGGCCCTCGTATTTAACACGGCCCTGTGTGTCGAACTCCTCGCCGTGGCCACGGCCGTTAGTCCATTGACCCTTAAAGATGACGTTGTCATGGTGGTCTCGCAGCTCCCCCTCGCCGTGTGGTCTGCCATCGAGCGTGGGGCCATGATAAAAATGGCCCTCCCACCACATGCCCGTCGCCACGCCAGCTCCCTTCTTCTCTCCATTGACCCACACGCCCTCGTAGGTCACCCTGCCGCCAGTGAGCTCCTTGCCATGGCCATGCCGTTTGCCGTTCCGCCAGTCACCGCTGTAGATGACATTGTTGTCGCGGCGGTCTCGCAACTCGCCCTGGCCGTGAGGTTTGCCGTCGAGAGTCGGGCCGACAAAATAGCCGTCTTTTTCCCACCGCATGCCCGTCGCCACGCCAGCTCCCTTCTTCTCCCCTCTCACCCACACGCCCGTGTAGGTCACCTCGCCGTTAGTGAACTCCTCACCATGGCCGTGCCGCTTGCCGTCCACGAAATCGCCCTCGTAGACCATCTGGCCGTCCGATGCGTATTCGATGCCCTTGGCGTGCCGTTTGCCGCCCTTCCACTCTCTCTCATATCGCTTCCTCTCGCCGTCCAGCAACCACAAAATGCCCCATCCGTGCGGCATCTCAGTGCCACCCACTTTGCAGATGGAGCCGTAGTAGACACTGCCCTCGTACATGATCGTGCGGTCAACGCTTTCGGCTTCCTGCTCGGCAGCACCTTTCGCTTGCAGCCGCTCTCTTGCAACGTCAAGTTCGGCCTCGGCTTGCTGAGCCCGTTGCATCCATTCATCCCTCTCTTTTCTGTGCTCGTCTCCCTCCTTTTTGTAGTCGTCTCTTTCCTTCTTGTAGGCATCTCTCTGGGTCTCGAGCTCCTCAATTCGTTTGTTGAACTGCTCGCGCTCACTGTCCATCGAACGACTGATATCTGAGTACACATTGCGTGTTCTTCATGGTGCGTGTGAATGCGTGTCTGTCGCATTACTTACCATCGACGATATTCTGCAGTGTCTCCCTGTCGTCGACATCCGTCACCGACGGGATCGCACACGTGCGAGCATCTGATGGGCTCAGCAGACCAGCCATCACGGGCCGGTGCCTGCCAGCCATCGTGACAAGGAGGGATCATGCAGCTACACGGATAAGGCGAGAAGGTTCAGAAAATTTGGGGCCTACCGTGCACGCAGAGATCACACAAAGACGAGAGTCTCGATCGCTCAGAATGCATCACCTGAAAAGCGGATCACAGCTCAGAAGCTGAGACGCGTTACGGTACTATGTGCTGATCCGCATCTTGTGTGTGGTCTGTTTCTCATATGGATGGGTGCCTACCAGGAGATGAGTTGAAATCGTGAAACTGCTGATGCGGAGGCTTCTACACACCCCACACTGTCTGAACCACACAGACCATGAAGATCAGTGAGTCAGACACGGTGGATGTGCGGTGGGGCTCAGTGGGGCTCACCTGGAAAGTGTTTGTCTGGACTCACTCTTCCCTAGCGCAGGCCCTTCGATTGCTTTCTTCGGCAGCCGCGGTTGTGAAAACCCTGAGACCCCAGACCCGAAACCCTGCGGCCTCCGCGCCCTCCACTCTCCCCTCTCTCACCGCCGCACGTGAAGGACTGCAAAAGACCTCACCTGGATCTGCCCTGCCCACCTCCCCATCAGCTCATCTCACCTTATTCGACCGCCCAGCGACTTCCCATCTCTCAGCGCCTGTTAGCCACCGGAGTATCCCATCTGGCCCTCAACCAGCCGCACTGCAACTGACTGCCCGGCCTCTCAATTGCCCGTCAGCTATGGCCCTCATCTCCCGCCTGATGCTCCTGCTTGCGGCCTCTCTGCTGGTGGCCGTGTGGATGCCGTCGACCGCCGTGGCCATGGCTGCCGACGAGGCCCTCCCGACTGGCCCCCCTGCCGCTGCTGATGACGATGGCCTGACGACTGTGGACGACCAGCTTCTGCTGAGCGATGAGGATGGCGATGAGCCGTTGGTGTCGTCTGGTGGTCTGCGGGGTTTGCAGTCGTGCATTGCCTCTTACTCAAAGAAACAGTGCAAGAAGACCTCTCACTGCTGCTCGCACAAGTAGGGCAAAGGGAAGAGGGAGAGCCATGGCGATGCGTGTGTTGATGTGTGTGTGTGTGTGTGTGTGTCTGCAGCTGTGTGAACGGCCAGTGCCGTAAGGGCGGCGATCTGAATGACATTGGCCATGGCTGTCGATATGACAACGACTGCCACTCACATTGGTGCACGAATGGCAAATGTGAGCCGCACACTCACACACAGAGGGGGCAATGTGGGCGTCATCCCTTCTGTGTGTGTGGTGTGTGATTTAGGCAAGGAGAGGGGCCACCATGACGACCACCATGACGACCACCATGACGACCATCGGTGCAAGAAAGACCATGATTGCAAGCGTGGCCATTACTGCTGGAAGAAACACCACGACCACAAATACGGCAAATGTGAGTGACACAGGCAGACACAGTGGGCGGACAGACAGACCTATGGGCCGTGTCCATCCACTGTGGCCATGTGTGTGTGGTCTTCAGGCCGTCGGCATTAGGCGTCCAACTCATTCAGACACTGCGGCTCGTGTGTCGTTGTTTGTTCATGTGTGAGTGGACGGCGCTGGTCTCGCTGTCTGTCTGTCTGTCTGTCTTACTGTGCCCAAGTTGTTTGTACAGTCAATCACGTGACGTCTGTCTGTCTTTCAGTCTGCTGTGTCTTTGGTATTGTGTGGCTTTGCAGTCAGCGTGAATAAGGGCGGGGTCGGCGGGATGTCACTGGTTGGGGGCGGTGAGCCCTCAGGTGCATTCGTATTGCTTGTACTCAAGAGAGGGGCAGAGAGAATGGTGTGGTGAGTGTCGTGGGCATCAAAAGATGGCCACCACACACACGTCTCAATTACACATGCAGTGGTGCATCTGGTGGTGGGGTGCATTCCTTCGTGGGCGTCTGCGGGACATACACACATACATGTAGTGTGGTGTGTGTGGGTAGTGCCCCTGCAAAGCATCGTGTGTGACATAGTAAGCTGACCTCACTCAACTTGGTGTGTGCTCCTTTGTGACCGGCAGACAGACACATTGAGGGAGATTTTTTTTTCTTTTTTTTTTTGAACACATGGGGGGTGAGAAAGGGCTTTTTCCTTGATGTTGAAGGTCATTTGTCCTTGCAGTTTTCGTGTCGTTCCGGTTGGGTGGGTTTGGGGTGGACATTACACAAAGACAGGACTCACACGTGTCCGTTCCGTGTCTGTCTGTCTCTGTCTGTCCGTCGCTTTTATCCACTTGGTATGTCTCATTAGCAGACCGCTTTTGCCTTACAAATACAAACCCGCCCAATCGACCTATAACCCCAAACAAACACACGAACAGCCGACACAAAAATAAAGTGGAAAGAAACAAAGAAAAATAGATATACACGTATATACCCATCGACACACGAGACACAGAGCCGCTTGCTTTTGTCACAGTGCTCCATCAGGAAAATACTTGGGCAGACCTTCCTCCCGCAGAAACTCTGCCAATGTCCATCCGCCCCCCAGATCCCTATTGGCTAGCTGCTGCCCCTCCTCCCAGCGAATGGGCTTGATGGGCCACGTAGGGGTGCCATCAGGTTTCTTCACTCCACACCAGTCGCCATCAGGGAAGAGGGTGCCCCTCTCGATGAGGCCTTGTTTCCATTGGCCCTCAAACCACACCGGAGAACCAGCAGAAGGGCCGGCCGCCTTTCCCTGGCCGTGTCTCTTGCCATTCGCCCACTCGCCCGAATAGATGACTTTGTTGTTCTGGTAGTCTCGGAGCTCGCCCTGGCCGTGTGGCTTGCCGTCGAGTGTCTCGCCATGATAGAGACCCACTCCCAGTTCATTCCCGTCGCCACACCGGTTCCCGTCTTGTCTCCTTTGACCCACTCACCCTTGTAGGTCACCTTGCCGTGAATGCGCTCCTCCCCCTGGCCGTGCTGCTTTCCCTCCTTCCATCCGCCGTTGTAGACAACGCCACCGCATTGGTGCACTTCCCCCTCGCCGTGCGGTTTGCCATCGAGTGTGGGGCCAGTGAAGAGGCCGAAATGCTGTCCTTTGGCGTCCTTGAGCGTCAGGTTGGTAATGTGGCCGTCTCCCTTCATCTCGTCATCCGCCCATTGACCCTCGTACACTGTCTGGCCGTGCTGATCGATGGTTGTCGATTTGCCCTGGCCGTGTCTCTTGTCGTCTTTCCACTCGCCCTCGTAGGCCTTGACAGTCTGCGGGCCGCTCGATGCGTATTCAGTGCCCTTCCCATCTCGCTTGCCGTCCTTCCACTCGCCCTCGTATCGCTTTCTCTCGCCGTCCAGCGACCGCAGCAGCCCCGTGCCGTGGGGCAGCTTCTCGCCGTCCACCGTGCGAATTGACCCAACGTACTGACCCTCGTCGTAGATGATCGTGTGGGCCTCGCGGCTGTGAGCGCTCTCTTCCTCGTAGAGTCTCACTTTGGCTTCGAACTGCATGCATACGTACACAAACAAACAAACATGTGTGGCTGTTTGTCGTTGTGTTCGGAGCCCTCTCTCTCAGCGGTTGGGTACCATTTCGCATCGGCATTTCCATTCGTCTCTCTCCTTTCTGTATTCGTCTCTTTGTCTGGTGACTTCGTCGATGAGCTGCTGCTTGGTCCGCAGGTGGTCCTCCAGCCGAGTCATCATCCGTCTCGAGTGGGGGGAGAGGCCGTTGGAGTCGTAGGGGCCAATTTCGTCACTCATGTTGTAGAGAGGAACTTCAAGGAGAGATATGTGGGAGGGGGGAGTGGTTCGGGAAAAAGACTGGTTCAAGCTCGCAACGCAACGGAAAGTGGTGTTGCCTGGATGTGGTGGGGACGATCAGCCGGCGCCTATAGGCAACTGCACGAGCAACTGCATTCATTAAAGGAACCAGTCGCTCACATGAATGGACGTGTTGGATGTGTTCTAGCCAGTGACAGCCAACCAGACACACGTGAGACACACACGCGCAGGCAGACGAACGAACGAATCAACCGAGGCGGCCACGCAATACACGCAATCAGCCAGAACACACAGACACAGACACAGGTTAGACACACATGGACACATGCAGGCATGCAGGTGGTATGTGGTGGTGGTGGGTCACAATGGCACGGCACTCACTCATGGATTCAGACAAGTGCGAAAAAGGCACTCAACTTATAGATAGCGATGTGGTGGTGTTAATATACGTGTGTGTGCGTGTGTGTATGTGTTGGTGTGGTCCTCTAAACAGATCCCCCCGCCCCCCCGCCCGCAGCACCCGCCCCACGTATGTGTGCCCTCGTCGAATTGACTGCTGCCTGCTAAACGTGGGGTGAGTGCATGAAGTGCACCATGGCTGGCGCGTTAAAAAAGCTGCGTACCTTTGTAGCATTGCCCCCGCTGGCTCGATGACGCATCAATCAGATGAAAAACACACAGCCCGATGGACGGATGATGGGGGTGTGCCTGTGTGCATGGGGTGTTCTGGCCGCCCGGCTGTGCACAGCACTCCACACACACATACATATCGGCGTGTACACGCACGCATTAGGTGTACGCGGCCATATACAGAGGTGTGTGCGTATGTGCGGAAAAAGAGTGCCCCGCCATTTGGTTCTGTGGGTGCGTACGTGCGTGCGGCCATGCACCCACACACACACACAGATGGCGAGACGTGGTTTGTGCAATCGGCTAGCTGACTCACCCACCTACCTCACCCGAACAGCACACCCCAGCACCCATCCATCCATCCATCCAGTTGTCCGCTTAATCCACACACACGTGCGTGTGCGCACACACATTATGCACACACACACGGCGAATGAAGACGTTACGAATCGATACATGCCGACATACATGGCCACTGACTGCCTCTCCCCCTCGCTCTCACACAGACGCTCCTGGACTGCATGACGCCCCGCCGCCCCGATCAGCAACGCCCCTTTGGTTGTGTTACTTGGTTTGTTTCCCGAGCCCCCGACCGCCAGTAATAGACTTCGCCCCGCCCCGCCCCCTCCCCTCCCCGTGTGTATGTCGTGTGTGCACCATACACGTCCGGATACGTTATACAGAGTAATCTCCCCTGTCTGTGTGCAAATATGCAGTCAATCAGTCAGTGAGTCGGTGCGAACAGACGGACACACACACACATCTGCGCTGATACATACACACACACATGTCGGTGCACACACACACACACACAGACAACCCCACACATCACTCCATCACTCAGTCTTCATAATGGTCAGGGGCAGCTTCCTTCAACGCTGCACACACACACACACACACACACATCCATCCATCTCAGTACGTGTGTGTGTTGCCGCGTATGTACTTTGCACACTGATGCCCATTTCGGCCATCTGCAGCTTGACCAGCGGCGAAGTCGTCATATCGTCAGACGACTTGCGCGTCTGCGTCACGGGCGTCAGGGGAGAGGTGGTCTCCCTCTCCAGCGGCGTGTGTAGGGGCACATCTGCACACACACACATCCGCTCATCCATGTGTGTGTGTGTGTCTGTGTGTGGTGGTGGGCCAGCTTACGTGAGACATTGACAGGTGAGTAGCAGACGGCCGGGAGGGGCAGCATGGGCACCGTCAGGGACACCTTGGGGCTGGTCGGGACAACATACGCTACCTGAAAACACACACACAGGGACCAACGCACACATGATTCGCCCATCCGTCTATCGTCCCATGTGTGTGTCTATGGCTTACACTCATGGGGCTGGCTACTCTGACGGCCGGCACAGGTGTGCCGGTGAGGGGCTGCACGGCGCTCGCCGGCAGCATAGCGATGTCGGGGTGGGACGACGCACGAGACCTGAGGCATCACACACAACAAATGCATTATGTCCTCACGTGTGCGCGAGTGTGTGTGCCGTGTTTGCCGAACCGTCTGCAGCATGTCGACTCTGGGGAGGGGGTGGCTGTCGACGAAAATGAACCTGCAACACCATACACAACCAGAAAGAGGCGATGATAGACACACACACATCCGTACACACGTGTGCACAGATGTGTGTACTTACCCTTTTTGACGAGCACGCCGCCCGTAACGGGGTTGACTGCGATAGGGGAGGCCGACGAGTCGGAGGAATGCAGCTGAGTCTGCGGTAGCTGACCACAACGGCCAAGGCAGGCCCACACGCGCATGGTGAATCAATCGCCTGTGTGTGCATATATCGGTGTGGTGTGTGTCACCGTACCATTCTGGACTCCAGTATGAGTTCCTTGAGGGGTCTCTTCTCCGCCAACGCGCGCTTCTCCAACTCAGTGCGGCGATACCTGTTGGCACACACACACAAATTCAGTCAATGCGTGTGCTCAGAGGGATGGATTGATGGGTGGATGGATGTGTGATTGCGTACGTACCTCCTGTCTCGCACTTCGTGGAGTCCGTGTGCGTGTCTGCAGCGATCGCCCAACGTGCAGATGCCCTGCTTCCAGAACTTGCACAAATCTGAATGAATGAATGACCACATACACACATACAGACACACACATGGTGTCCAAGACGCCTCTGAGTTGTGTGTGTGGACGTGACGCACCTGTTTTGTAGTAGTCCTCCGTGCTGTGTAGGTCCTCCTCGCCGTGCGCAAACGGACAGGCGGAGGCAGGCAGCGGACACACACCCTGGGCAGCACAAGACGCGATGTCCATCCATGCATCCATCCATCCATCCATTTGTGTGTGTGAGTGTGTGTGTGTGTGTGTCCATCCATCCATCCATGTGTGTGTGTACGTACCTCTCTCCACCTCTCGCACAGCCGCGTCTTGCGCAGAGAGGGGGACGGTCGCAACTCAGCTGACAACCATACCAACACACACACGACGGAAGCACGTTGATCCACCCACTCCACCCAGCATCTGTGAGTGGGTGCGTACCTTTCGAGTGCGCGTAGTTGCACTCGTTGCCGCGTCTGCATCGACCGCGGGGGAAGTACGGACACATCTTGGTCTGACCACACACACAACCAGACAGAGAGAGAGAGAGAGAGATGGGATGGGTCTCATCGTGCCACACTGTGTGTGTGTGGATCGTGTCGCGGCACCCACCGTCGTCACTCACCTTATAGAACTGGTCTTTGGCCTCGCGCTTGGGCAGGACGGGGTAGGTGGGAGTCGGGAGGAGAGGCTGACAGAGAAAGGACACAGAGAGGGGACAGGACACACCGAGCGAGACCATCCATTCCCCGCACCCATGTGCTTGCTCTCTCCACCCACCCCTCCTCCATGTGTGTGTCGTCCTCCTCAGCGTACCTTCCTCACTCCCTCGTCAATCTCCCTCTCCGGCCCGCTGGCCGTCGCCGCCGTCGGAAGCGGCAGATGGTGCTGCTGCGGGTGGTGGAGCTGCGGATGCTGCGGGTGCGCATCCGCAGCAGCAGGTCCCTGAATCGACGGCTGGATGCACATGATCCTCGCGCCAACAATCACTCAACAAGGCTACCAACACGCGCAGCGATGAGTCAGCACGGCGTGGCTATCCGTCTCAAGGGGATGAAAGCGGAGCCGATGGTAGGTCCCAGGACAGGTGTCTTGGCTTCTGTCGTGCGTTCGCACGCTCCTCTGCTCTCTTTGAGATTTCCCAAAGTATCAGGTCACAAGCGGGTTCCTGCGGAAACCCTGCGAGCTCCCCAAACCCTAGAATCTCCAACACACTTTGACGTTCTGAACACGTGAATGTGATGGGGATGGAGATGCGGCGCATATATTGAGATGGCCACAACAACACGCGACGAGCGATCCTCTTTTGTCACGCACAAGAGCGGGAAGCGTACAAGCATGCCCTCTATCAACGAAATATAGTGAGCCCCCAAGAGAGGACGGGCCGGCCGTGTATTGTGTGTATTATTGTGTGTGATGTGTGTTGTCGTGTTTGCGTTCAGTGGTGGTCGTCAGCGGTTGAAGGTGCTGTCGAACGTGAGGGCCAACCCTAAATGGACGATCAAGTGAGGGAGGGATGGAGGGGCTCACTCACACACATTCGCAGACACGCAAACACACGAAGAGAGGGAGGGAGAGAGAGAGAGAGAGAAGGGCCAGACAGGCAGACAGACACCTCTGTGTGTGCGGATGTGGGTCTGTCTGTGTGTGTGTGTCGTGTCAGGGGTCGTCCTCGTGATTTGAGTCCCGTTGTCAACGTTCCAGGGCCGGGCACATATGGGAGGCCTGCAAAAGAAGTCGAAAGCAACCAGAGGACCGCCGCAACCACCGTGTATGTGAAGCGACCACACAGGGGATTTACTGCTGGCAGCACACACGTGACATGACCGCCCATCTGACTGTGTGTGTGTAGATTTGGCACAAGTCATCGAGATGAGCTGAAGCCGTACCAGGGGCCGGGGCCAGGTGAGAGAGACAGGGGCAAGATAGTGACACGTACGGATGGATGGATACACGTGCCGCCTGTGTGTGTGTTCAGGTGCGTATCAGTATGCGGCTGAGGCGGGCAAGGGCATACGGTCGCCCCCACAATACACCATGACGCCCAGAAGGTACGTGTGTGCACCACGCAGGGAGCCACGCATCCATATACGGCAGTGTCGGTGGGGCGGGTGGTCTTGCAGACCTGACAAATCGCTGATGGGCAACGATCTCCCCTCCCCTGACGCCTATATGCCGACGGGGGCACACTTGGAAAAGGCGCCTGTCTTCGGGTGAGTAAAGTGTGCTTGGATGCGGCACAGTCACCGGCAGTCCCAGTGTGTCTTTTTGTTTTCAGTTTTGGGTCGTGTGAGCGCAAGACTCTCACTCTGGCTGAGGGGCCCGGCCCAGGCACATACAGGGTGACGCTGCCGCCAGCCACGCCATCATATGGGTACTCATGGATTGATGCACACACTATCCACACACGCAGGATCTGTCTGCTGGTATATCAGGCTGGGGACGACTCCCCGACCCTCTATGGGCAGCAAGGAAGCGAGAAACTCTCCAGGTAGATGTGTGTGTGTGTGTGTGTGTGTGTGCACGGATTGGGTGGATTCTTGCTTCTCTGTAGGTCCTGGCGCGTACAGCGTGCCATCTCCCGTGGGCGAGGGGCCGAAGTACTCCCTGGGAGCCAAGTACACATCCTTGTTCGGCGGCAATGGTCAGCCTGCCAGAAAAGTGTGCGTGTGCGTGGATCTCTCTCTCTCTCTCTGTGTGTGTGTGTGTGTCTGTGTGTGTGTGTGTGTCTGTGTGCAGGGAATGTTGGCCCCGGGGGCTACGAAGTCAAGAGCACTGTGGGCGACAACATCCAGTGGAGGTGTGACACACACAGCACACATCCATCCATCCATCAGTCCATCCATCCATGTGTCTGTCTTCATCTGTGTCAGCCTGCGCGGCCGTCCGAAGGATGACATCTTCATCAGGGGAGGCGGCAAACACACACCAGGGCCAGGCAACTACCGAGTGAGCGGCAGAGCACGAATGCCACATGTACACATGCATCAACCGGTGTGTTGTGCGTGTGTGGTCAGCTGGAGCGCTCTGACGGTTTTGTGTCTGGGTGCGCGCGAACTTCGCCGAGATGGGGGTTCGGCTCGTCTGCCAGGAAAGGTACGCACACCAGTCACTACACACGGCGCGACGTTCCTCTCTATCTCTCTGTGTCTGTGTCTGTGTGTGTGTGTGTGTGTGTGCAGGATTGACGGCGTCATCCGACCCCTCTCCCTGCGAGTATCAGATCAATGACGGATACAGCTCACTCATCCGGAAACAGCCCATGTTCGGGTATGCACTCAAATGTGTGTTTGTGTATGTCTGTGCACACATGCATTTCTTCATCTGCGTCCATCTGGTGTGTGGGTGTGTATGTGTGCAGCTTTGGGTCGTCATCTCGGCCGCCAATCAACAGTCCTGGTACACAGCCACCTGTGCATCTTGCCAACTACAGACACACGCACACCCACCGCCTATCCCTTGGATGCGCACGCAGGCATTGCCCCCGGCCCTGGCAACTACCAAGTGGCTTCGCTCGTCGGGAGAGCACCCATGTAAGGCCACCAAGACACAGCCACATACACACATCGGTGCATCCGCACACACATGTACCCACTCATGCAGGTACTCGATGACCCCCCGCCGCGAAGCCATCCAAGAGCTAGTCAAACGGAGATACAACACACCTGGTCGGCATCCACACACGCAGCGACACACAGACTCAAGGAGCCTCACCTCTGTGTGTGTCGTGTCGCAGCTCCCGGCACGTATCGCGGCCCCGATCAGCTTCACGGTCCGCGCTGGGGGTTCGGCTCGTCAATGAGAAGCGACATGGCCAGGGGCAAGGAGGGCGGCGCGGGGCCAGGTGAGACAGACAAGACGAACTGAAATGGTCGATGGGAGATGGACTCATATTGTGTGTCTGCGTGCAGGTGCGTATGCCGTGGCGTCTCTGGTGGGCGAGGGGCCGAAGATCTCACTCAGTGGACGGCCGAAGGACCTCAAACCATTGTAAAGCGACTGACACGCATATGCACAGCGCGGATGCATGTGTGTGTGTGTGTGCATCCATTGAGTCTCTCTCTGTGTGTGTGTGCAGCGAAGTTCCTGGCCCGGGTCACTACATGGCGGATGCAACCGAGTTCGATTGACGAGAGCGACTGACTAACGTGTCTGGGTGTTCCATTCCATTCCTTTTCTTTGCTAGCTGGCTGGCGTTGTTGCTCTGCTCGTGTACATAACATAACATAACATATAACATAGACATACATACATACGTACGTACATATATACATATAATACCTAATATGGATAGACCAGAACATACGCGTGTGTATGTATGGAGTATCTCTTGTGTTGTCTTCGTCTGGTCTGCCTCTGAGTGGTCTGCGAATGAAGTGCACGAAGGGAAGGAAAAGCGACAGACCGACGGACATATATACATACTTGGACGCTGTAATGGGCTGATGCGCTGTGCCTTTCTAACGGTCACTCAACGGTTAAGTGCGAGATCAAAAAGCGACGATCAACAGTCTCGCTGGTTGGCTGACTGCTCGCTCATCCCGCCATCTTATTGAGAAGAGTGAGGTGCGATGGCTCGTCGGCCGCCACCGTCGGATGCCCCGTATCAACGCTCGAGTGGGTGACCGTCGAAATGATGCAGAATGTCATCGACGGTAAGGAGACAGGCCTAGGAGAGAGGGATGCACACCATGACAGACCGATGCCGTATCTGTATGTGTGTATGCAGACCTTCGCCGTTCGATGGACAGAGAGCGGCAACAAAGCGACAAGCGAATCGCTGAGCTTGAGACCCAAAGGGATGAGTACAAGAGAGAGAGGGACGCCTACAAGCGTGAACGAGACGCCGCCCTGGACAGGCTCAGAGACCTTGAGGAAAAGGTGGCTGCCGATGACGAGGCCCACAGCCGTGTTGCCCGCTCGATTGTGCACGACGGCGGCCTCTACCACGGCTCTGTCCGCACAAGTGGGCGGCACCGAGGTGCCCCACGGGACGGGGCTGCTGCGGTCGCTGGACGGCGACAAAAAGCGATATGAGGGCGAGTGGAAGGACGGCAAGTACCACGGCAAAGGCATCGAATACGCTTCATTCGAGACGCGCAACCAGCAAGGCCAACTGGAGACCAAGATGTGTCTCGTGTATGAGGGCGACTTTGCGGACGGCAAGCGAGAGGGACAAAAGGGCACCGAATACCAAGCCATAAACGGGCAAATGGGGAAGGTCTATGAGGGAGAATGGAGAGACAACAAATGGCATGGACAGGGGAGGGAGCTTCCGCACTACGATTCGAGCTCAGGACAGCGACAGCATATTCTCGAGTACACTGGAAGCTGGGTGAACGGCAAGCGGCACGGCGAGGGCGAGGAGCTCACTGACAGCAAGGTGACCTACAGGGGCGGCTGGGCAAATGGAGAGAAGAAAGGCAACGGGACGGCGGGCGGCATGGAGCTCAGAGACGACAACGGACAGCATTTGGGCAACTATCACGGCCCCACCCTCGACGGGCAGCCAAACGGAGACGCGGAACTGCGATATGGCAACCAAGTCGTCTACAAGGGCAACTGGGCGAGCGGCAAGCGGCACGGCCAGGGGAAGGCATACTACGACTACTGTCCTGTGTTGTGGTTCGATGGCGAATGGCGGGAGGGCCTGGCCAACAACGGCATGCTCTTCCCTGACGGCGACTGTTGGGGACAGAAGAAGGCTGACGGCAGCCCTGTGTATCCCATCAAACCCATTCGATGGCAGGCGGGACAGCAGATACCCAACACCGATGTGCCTGGCTGCGGATGGAAGCTGCATCAGTGGCTGCAGAGTCGGGGTGTGTCGGGATATTTCCCTGCTGGTGCACTGTGATAGCGAGTGTGTCTCTCGTGGCTGTGTGTTTTGTGTGTCTATCTGTCTGTCTCTCGTGGCTGGCTGGCTGTGTGTGTGCGTCTCTCGTGGCTGGCTGGCTGTGTATTGTGTGTTGTGTGTGTGTCATATGTCTACGGATGTGTGTTTGCATCCGTTGGGGGGAGGGAGAGAGGCAGTGCAGTGTCTGTTTTATTCGATGGTTTGTGGCCTTACAAGACCCGACGGCTGCGTGCGGTTGTCTGTGTGCTGATGTGTGTCTGAGTCTCTCTTTGCTGTCTGTGCGTGTAAGCGGATAGAAGTAAGTTGATCGGTCAGACAGGTTTTCGCACCATAGCCATGAGGACTCTCGTGTGGGATGTTTTTGCTGCACTCTTGTTGCGATTCCGATTGATTTATTTGAGACCGAAAGTGCATTGCCATCGTATTGATGCAGTGTCCATATTTGGGCGTCCTCACCTTTGACACAGACCCCAAGGCGGACAGACGCGCATCTGTCGAGCACACATGCGCAAGGGGCGAAGACCAAGACCACACACGCATCGAGACACAGCAGCTCTTTGCTGTCGTTCGTACGGCTGTAGGGTGTGTTGGCTGTTGTCCTTCGTCCTCCCTGTGCGGCTGACTGGCAGCTGGTGCGAGTGCTCGCTCACACACAGCGGCCATTCAGCGGCAGACAGATCGGACGCAGGACCACAGACACACACACCAATAGAAAATCACCATTAGAAGGGAACAGAGTACATTGATGGCAATAAAGCCATCAGCACCAGAGAGCACAGCCACACCATCGCTCATCTCGCACCCCCGCCCCCCTCTCCCAGACACACAGCAGCAAGCGACAAATAGACGGCCACCATCAGGTGGTAGCGAAAAAATGAACACACAAATCGTGAAGCGTCCGACATCAGCGGGAATAGCAATTACGCGGTTCAAGCAGCTGCAGAATTGGCACAAAGTGGCCCTCGGCGGCAGCATGCAGAGAGACAGTAAGACGCCATGCTGAGCCACGACAGCCCTCCGTGGTTTGTACGGCTCACACAGTGGACGGAGGACAACAGACCAAGCACTCACACACACATCCCAGCAGGCGGAAAAATCATCGCAGCAACACGCCGACAATCTCCCTCGTCATATCCGCTGCTCACTGCAGCAGATCCGCACAGCAGTCGACACAGTGGATGCACTCTCTCATCCATTGATCTCGATCAATAATCCCATCCATGAAGCCCCACCGACCCGCATTCCGTTCCGCGCCACGGGGGCTAAGCTACAGGCTGGCTGTCCATCGCCTCACTGTCCTCACACACCGGCACGCCACCGGGAAACGAACCTCTCTCACACGGACTCTCGCCTCTCTCAAACACAATCATGTTGTTCCCACTCACACTCTTCGCCATCGCACTGCCCGGGAACCCCAGCCCCTGCGCACATGCCATGAGCATGCCCCTATCACAGGACACCCCTTCGCCCATTCCCAGGCCGACCTTCTCAACTGTGGGAAATCGCGTCAAGACCCACCAGGCATTGAAAGCAAAGGACGAGAGACACGCGGACAGCGACGGCAGTGCGGGCGGCGGTGGCTGGTTGCCCGCCCCTCCCTCATGACGCACATTGAGATTCACCATCGCTTTCCTCACCCTGGCTTTCAGCACTGCCTCAAGCTCATCTGACTCCTCTTCTACCGTCTGCCAGTGAAAAACTGGCACTGAAAAACCATTCTGCGACGGTCGAGCGCTCAGAAAGACATCCACGAACACGTCGAGAGGCCCCCCCTTGCCAGCACAGTGCTTCAGCCCCGCCCCCACCAACGGTACAAGTACGTTTTGCGAAGTGAACGTGACTGGCACAACGTGAATGACACGTGAGAGGTGAGGCAGCCGGCCCATGACCTTGTCTACCCCTCCCTCATACAGCGACACGCCCGCTGGCCCACTGCTGTGGTCCAGCCAGAGTGTCTTGACAGCACCGAACATCGACGGCACGCTCTCGGTGATCCACTCCGGCAGAGGATGGCGGGCGTCTCGCTCCGTCATGCCCTCCGGAAACCTCACGATTAGGTCAGCCGCTTGCTTGAAGGAGAGGCCATAGAGCTCGCTCGCGCCCGTCGCATGACTGTCGAGGAGGTAGGGGAGGAGAGCGACTCGTGCCGCGCTCGCCGCCAGGAACTGCAGGGTCGGTCGAGTGCCGGCCAGCTCCTGTGACCTGCCGATCAGCGGCAATTGGATGTTGAGGGGGGCGCGGCACTCGCGGGTTGCTCGCCTGACGAGGCGAAGGCGTCCATTGTCCATCTCTCCAATGTGGTACAGCTCCTTGGCGCCCTTTGCCAGCCACGAGCTTCGGAATTCGTGCCACATCTACGGACAAGAATGCACGGCCACGTCGAAATACATACCATTGCTGCGTCGCCATATGGAGGTGTCCCACCTGTATGCCACCGGCTTGGGAGAGTATCGGTAGTGTCACAACCTCCAGGCACTCGAGGCCGCTGAGGGAGGAGACTACTCTATCGAAGCTGATGGCACCGGTGAGCGATTTGATGGTCCCGTGAGAGGGGGTGCCCTGAAGAGATTGGACGACTGCCCCGAGGGGCTTGTACACGGGAAGATGTCCACCAGCTGACACCTGCGAGGAAGTGGTAACAAAACGACACACGCTATCCACCCCCTCATGGCCGCATTACCCCACCTGGTCGAGGAGATGGAGCGACCGCAGGCCGCCAGTCACCCCCTTGAGCATCGTCAGCCCCCCGTGTGCAGGCCACTCGACGCTCAAGTGGGTCAGGGCGGGCATCTCATACACCTGCCCAAAACAATGGTGCGGCTGCATCAGCTCCACCCACTCACGCATCAGGACGGCCTTGACGAGCCGCGGGAAGCTCACAGTATTGCCGCCGGTGATCACTCTGCGATGTGTTCTGCGGTCGGCGGCCGTGTCGACGGTGATCTCAGTGACGGCGGGAGCGGCGGCCTCGAGCAGGGCGACACTGTTGACGCGCGGGCCGGCCTCGATTAAGACCCGGACGTTACTGGCGCGGGAAAGCACCTCTGAAGGATCCATGATGACACACAGACAAGTGACCGGTAGTGAGTCGGCTACTGCTCTGTGTTGCGCTGTATTTACCCTTCCACTTTTTGTGTATGGGCGGGGGGCCGCGCCAGGGATGCGTTGTGACGTCGATCAGCTGGTGTTTGGGGTTTGCGATCAGCAGAATGGGATGCATCTTGGGGTTGCCGACGATGGACGCGATCGCCGTGCTGACACCCGAGAGGGACTTGACACACTCGACAAAGCCCAGATAACCACCTGCAGACCAAACCAGACATTGACTGAGCCGATCTGGACATGTGTGGTCGATATCAGCGTACCGATGCCGGTCCGATCGGTGTCGCTCAGCCACAGCACCTCGGGAATGCCCTCCAAACAGGGCTCATGCTGTACACACAAGCCAGCCTCGTAAGCAGAATCTATCGCTTGCGTGTGCCGCCCTGTGTCCGACTCACCGGTGTCTCCAGCAGTCCTTGTATCACGCGGAGTTTCTTTGCTGAGGGGGCGGTGAGTGCTTTGACGGCTGGGGTGATGGCCTGGATGGTGTGCTTGGCTTGGTTGTCGACTAGGCTCTCCTACACACGCAGATTCTGCTCAACCGCCTGACAAACAGACAGACAGACAGACAGAGATGAGTGTGTGTGTGTGTTCATCGATGTGCTGCTTGTCACACATACCTGTGGTTTGTTTGGTGTGTTGAGAAGGTTGACTGCCTGTTGCCTCTGTTTGTCCACCAGCTGCAGCTGACTCCTGAGCACTCGGCTGAGGTCATCCAGCCCTCGCAAGTGCTTGGCGAACTGAACAAGAAGGCACACACATACACATATCAGGAACAGGGCCAGCCATCCCTGTCTGTCACCTGTGTGTGTGTCTCGCTCACCAGCCTCTGCTGCACTTGTGGCGATTGCGGCCCTTGTAGTGAGGGGAGGCCCCCTCTTTGCTGCAGGCACACTGCGGCAGTCGGCGGATGGCTCCAGGCGACCAGTGGATGTAGCCCGGTGGCGCCCTGGGGGCTGGGTGGGGGTGGGGGGAATGGGTAGGCCAGCTGAGGGGGCGGCTGTTGGTCAGGGTGACCACTGCTTGATGAGCCGACATGCCTGACGCACACAACAAACACATCAAGAAAGAGTGAGTGCCCTTCAGAGACGCTCACAAAAGGTGAATGGATGGACGGCTTACGGCGCTGTGTTGTGTTGTGCCATGCAGTAAGGCGTGATCAGCTTGTCAATCACACGCTGCCAGCAATCTGCAGTGCAGCGATGAATGACAAACACGATCACATGACACACCGCTGCCAGTGCTCTTGATGCTCACCTGTCGATGTGTGGTAGTGCTGTGTGATGAAGTCATCCTCCGCCCTCCCATGTGTGCCGCAGACACGACACAGTGTTCGCCTTTCGCCACTGCAGACACACATACAACACCATAACGTACACCATCTGTGAGAGAAATGAGGGATCTCTGCCGACCTGTTGTCGAAATGGAATCTCCGGTCACCGACAAACAGGCTGCCCGGCTCTCTCACCACCTCCTCGGTCACGTCGGTGTGCGGAAAGGCCCAGACGACCTCAAATACGGCATCCACGAGCAGGCACTCACTGCCAGTGCATTGGACGATAGGCGGCGTGAGAGGCCGCTTGTTCGACCGATACGATGGCGCATTTGCCTCGGGGCTGCCGTAGAGATGGGCACTCGGGGATGCAGCGTCGCCGATGTGCAGGGGGAGGGCGGGAGGGGGCGAGGTGGCGGTGTTGTGCAGTTCTCCATCGTTGTCGGGGAGATCTCCATCGGCACCATCGACACGTCGCTTCTTTCTCCTGTTTGGCTCCTCCGCCATCGCCGAAAGCCGTCTTGCCCACCTTCGACGATGGATCTCTGCTTTGCAAGCTTAGCTCGCAGATGGAGGAGAGAAGGAAAGGAGGCAAGGAGGACGTAGAACCCGTCCAAGAGGTATGCCGGGAGGTGTGCATGTTGAAATCGATAGATGCGTCGTATGTGTTGATTGGGTCAGTCATTCTTGCCTGTCTGCCTGTCTGCCCTGTCAGACCCCGCTGTGCCCTATTGATTCCAAGCACTGATCTCTGCTGACTGAGCCAACCGTTCCTCATCAACGCCGCCATGTCTGACGCCGCGTCAAGCCACACCATCTCCTCTGAGATGCTGCAAAAATCATGGACGGTGCGCTCACATCGACAGAGGGGCGCGGGTGTCTGTCCATCTGCGATGTCATCATGTGCACTCAGAATTGCGTCGTGCGACGGACCGAGAGCGGCAGCAGTATAAAATGCGAATCGAGGAGCTCACTGCTCAGAGAGATGAGTGGAAGCAGCGCTGCCAGCAGGTACACAAACATAGGCAAGAGACGAACACACAACTGTTTAAGTCCCGTGCGTGTGTAGGCCGAGGCGAAGCTGAAGGCCTTCGAGCAGGAGCCGACATTGGCGAGTCTCCATTGGGAGGGGGGCGTGTACCACGGCAATGTCCGCAATAAGATGCCCCACGGCGAGGGCATTCTGCGCACACTCGACGGCCAGAACTCATTCTACGAGGGCCAATGGGCGGACGGCAAACGACACGGCAAAGGCAAGCAATACGCCCCATGCCAGGTGTCCAACCAGCAACGCCAAATGGAGACCAAAATCTGTCTCGTGTATGAGGGCGATTGGCAAGACGGCCAGCGACATGGCAAAGGCACTGAATACGCCCCGTGCCAGGTGTACGACCAGCAAGGCCAACTGGAGACCAAGATGTTTCTCGTGTACGAGGGCGAGTGGAAAGACGGCAAGCGAGAGGGACAGGGGAAGGCCTACTAATGGAGTGCTGCGGCTGTGTTGTGTTTTGAGGGCGACTGGTGGGAGGGCCTGGCCCACAGCGGCACCCTCTTCCCTGACGGCGACTGGGTCGGACAGAAGAAGGCTGACGGCAGCCCACGGTGGCCCATCAAGCCCATCCAATGGCAGGCCGGACAGAAGATACCCAACACCAACCTGCGTGCCGGATGGGGCAAATTGCATCAGTACCTGCAGTCTCGGGGTCTGACTGCGTATTTCCCTAATTGTGCACTGAGATAGCGAGTGTGACACTCTGTCTGGTAATATCTCTGTTTGCATCGAGGGAGAGAGAGGGAGCAGCTGTCGTCTGTGTTGAGTGTCTTGTGTTTCCATGACGCGTTGCTCAGTCGGTGTGAAGATAAGCGGTTGTGACTGAAGACCTTATCAGTTGGTGTGATTGTTCGCTTCACTCGAGTCATTGACAGTACTAGTAGTCACGCCATCCTCTCACCAGACAGCATGTGTTCCACCCACCCATGGCACAGAGAGACGCACAATCAAACTCATGCACCACTGTGTGTATTACGCACTGAGGCCATCTAGAGGCCATCTATCAGGCTTTTGTGCACAAAGGCAGGCAGCAGCTGAGACGGTCCGATCCACATCAGCCTCTCAGCTGGCTGCACCAACTGCTCGACAAGAGAGAGAGAAAAAACCACTGCAATGATCTTCTGCGTCGCTCCATGTATGTGTCGGATTATGCAAAAGCTCATGTGTGCTCGGCCACTCACTGCCAACCATCTGTCTATCGGTCAAACATCAGGGCTGCGACGACGCGCCCCAGCGCCGCACGGGCCAGCCGGGTTGTCACCGGGAAACGCTCTCTGAAAGGGTCACTCGACGAGGCAGTGGCCGGCCGCTCAGTTGTGAACACCTGAACCTTCACTGCACAAACACGACAACAAAGTGCGACAGAAATCTGTGTGTGTGCGTTCCCTTCGTGCCGACCGTCGTTGGCGTCGCCAATGTGGCAATCCCAGATGGACACCCAGGCAACGAACTCGTGGCTCGTATCGGTCAGCACAACGCGCCGGGCCTTGCCATATCGCGGCCAGAAGTACGACACGCTCGTGCTGCACCCCTCGACCAGTGAGTGGGGGGACTGCGTGAGCAGCGTGTGCAGCCGATGGTCGTCCACATGCCTGACACACATACACATACACACACACACACACACACACAGACGACGGAGACGACGGACACTCACACAGGCGGTGTGTGCAAAAGAAGACGCCCTCATGCCCGACCTGTTGATGTTTCTGCTGGACGAGTTGCTCTGGCGAGCGCGGGTGCGCGCGAAGGGCGCCATGATGACGCTCTTGATGAACGACGACGCCGACGAGTACGTCGAGGCGCCGACCGAGGTCCAGTAGCCACGATCGGGCGAATAGCCGATCTCACTGCGGACCGGAGGGTCGTGCTCCTGGCGGTGCTGCTGGTAGAGGTGGTCGGGAGGGATGGGCGGGCCGATGGTGAGCTGGAAGTCCCGCTGGTTCTTGATCATGCGCATCCTCTCGCCGGCCTGGAACACCTCGAACGTCACGCCGCCGCCGAAGTGGATGTGGGGACCGACCATCCGCAGCTGGGCCAACACACGGGGGTCCGCAAGATACGCCTGACACACACACACACACACACAAAGGACATCGTGAGATGTGCCCGTTCCATGCCTTTCTGCCATGAGTCTCTCTCTCTCAGCCGCTTACCGTCTTGTTGTCATAATGGTGAAGGTCACTCCCGTCGAGCCTCACCGGCAGGTGGCAGTAGCCGCACGACGCCGCCAACTCGATCGCCTCACTCATCTCGCCCCAGCCCCCCTCCTCAAGCACAAACATGGCCACCAGCAGCTCGGCCTCGCCCATATGCTGAGCATCAAACACCAGCAGCGGCACCGCCTGTCCGTTGCGCACCCGTCGCAGGCCCCTCTGCCTGCCGAGGGAGTGGCTGAGTCGCTGCCGGAGCTGAGACGCGCCGAAGACGTCCCGGAGAGAGGTGCATGTTGCTCTCAGATGGACGACGTCGATGACGCTGAGGAGGAAGAAGCTGCGGCGGCCGACGAAGATGTAGCACATGGGGTGCTGCTGATGCTCCTGCATGTCCTCCTCGTCCATCATGACAGACGACAAGGCAACCTCCGGGACGGACAAACCAAAAACTCAAATAGAGCGCACCCGACGGCGTCGCCAAGCCGACGGCTCAATGCCTGCCTGCGATGGCAAAGCTGAAACACGTGAACTCAAAAAGCGCGCATGCTAAGCGCGCAGATTCCGCCGGCGCAGAGGAAGGAGTGGACTCAAAGGAGTGGCTCAAGACACCCAAGAGGTATGCCGGGAGATGTACACAACGAAATGGATACAATGATCATGATGGATTTGTCTGTCTGTGTGTGAGTGATTTTTCCATCCCTGCGCGTCGCTCTCTGTCTGTCTGCTCTCCGCTGAGATGATGGACGAGCCGCCATCTCCCACTGGCACTGCCTCGTCAGCTGCCGTCACTCTCGTGACTATCGAGATGATGCAGACGCAGATTGAGGACCAGCAGAGGCAGATTGACCAGATCAGACAGCAGCGAGACCATTATGAGGCCGAGAGGGACGGGTGGAAGCGACTGTGCGAGCAGGCTGAGGGCGAATGCAGGAATTGGAGGCGCCGCTGTGAGGAGGTACCCAGAACTAACCCAGCCAGTCAGCCAGCCAGCCAGCCATCCAACCAAGAAAGAATGTGTTCTCTTTGTCTGTGTACGTGCAGGCCGAGGCCCAACGTGACATTGCAAGGGAGCAGCTGCGAGCGGAAGTTGCTGCCGCCCAGGCCCGATGCGATGACTGGAGGCGCCGATGCGAGCAGGTAGACGAACACACGCCGGGCAGCAACACAGCAGTGCACGTGCTGTATCGTCACTCATGCAGGCAGAGGCACAACGCACGATTGTTCGGGGACCTGAGACGAATAGCATTACAGTGCACAGGGGCATGTCCTTTGAGGGTGGCGTCTATCACGGGCAGCTGATGGGTGGGCAGCCCCACGGCAGCGGCACGCTCTGCACACAAATCGGCCGTGTCATCTACAGCGGTGACTGGCAGCACGGCAAGCGGCACGGCCAGGGGAAGGCATACTATGACATCGGTTATGGTCCTGTGTTGTGGTTCGATGGCGAGTGGCGGGACGGCCTGGCCCACAGCGGCACCCTCTTCCCTGACGGCGACTGGAGTGGAGTGAAGAAGGCTGACGGCAGCCCTCTGTATCCCATCACGCCCATCCAATGGCAGGCCGGACACAAGCTACCGAGCACCGACCTTGTGGGGGGATATAAACTGCATAAGTGGCTGCAGTATCGGGGTGTGTCGGGATATTTCCCTGCTGGTGCACTGGGAGAGTGAGTGTGTCTCTCGTGGCTGGCTGACTGGCTGTGTGGCTGTGTGTCTGGAGGTTTGTATGTAGTGTGTGTGTCATATGACACATACACACACATCCGTAGACATATGACACACACAAACGTAGTCCCTTTGTCTGGGAATACGTGTGCTTGCGCTGCTTCTTGCCATTTTCTCGTGTGTGGCTCTCTTTGTGCATTCACATCTCCGTCTGCGGCGCATCAAGGAGCTAGAGGCACACTTAGCACCACCTCTCAAGTGTGTGTGTGATGGTCCCCATACAGATCAGCAGCACAGGCAGCAAGCAATAGTGTCAGAACTCGGTGCACACGTCGACTCCCCGGCGATGTCTTGTCTGTGCTGACTGACCCCTTCACATATCCCGTCAGAAGTGTCAAAAGCTCGTGAGACGCGCACACACCACACCACACCACACCATCTACGCACCGGACTGCTGTCGTCAGAGAGATGATGTCGACGCGATGGTCCCACTGAATCTCTGCGCTGTTGCTCTTTGCTCTCTGCCACCCACACCACACATCAATCAGCTCACCGTACGTAAGTGAGATGGATCAATAGCCCATGAGAGGCACCCACACCACCCACCCACGTGCAGATTGCTCGCCCTCACATCGGCGCCAACCAAAAACACCACAAGCATGTCATCACCACGACAATATCATCATCCGTTTGCTCGAGCCGTGTGCCGCGACGCTGCCGCAACGCGACGGCACGAGAGCCAGAAGGACTGCACATATGAATTCTGCACTGCATATTACGAATTTGTCGGCATCTGTGTGTCGAAAAACTCATGTATATTATATAGAAAACGGACTGACGGTTTGTGGTGTCCGTCCCCCCGGCTGGCTGGCCCGCTGGCCGACCGAGTGAGAGAGTGATCGGCAGAGCAGTAGAGTCGATGCATGGCATCACACACGTACATGTAGCAAAATGGTTGGTTGCCCAAGAGAGAAATAACCCCCCACACAAGTCACCCACCCACCCCGTCAACCCCACATGCGCATACGCAGGGAAGAAAATGAGACAGACAGACAGAGATATATAGGCAGCACTTCATGGCCAGACGGACGGGCGCAACAGACAAGCGAACCAAGCCCCCCTCAGGTCACCCAACCAACAGACAACCCCTCCCATTCATCGCTCCACCCCTTCGCACCAGCCGACCCGCTAATGCGGTATCCGGGCCACAAACTACGACAAAGATGCACGCAGCAATGCAGGCCAGTCAGTTGAGCTGTTCGAGAGAGTGCGGGACGCCATCACATGAGTGAGTACACTGAAGGGAAAAATGCCAGTCCATTCACCAGTCAGGCAGGCAGGCAACTGACACCCCACCATCCCACCCCACCACCCCATACGAACGATAGATCCATCAGCCCCCCTACCGCCCCCGTCCCCCCCTGCACTACGGTCAGACAGACAGACAGACAGGCAGACATCAGTCCCTTCGGGAATGATTGATTAAGTGAGCGAGTGAGTGCGGGAAGATAGCATCGTGTATATTAGGGCGGTTCCCACCCGCCCTGTCCTGGGCACACGGCACAACCCATGAACTCCCTCACCCCTCTCGCACGTCACACACATGAGACGCGCAACCAGCTCATCGGATGCTCACATATATACACACACACACACCGCTACGCACATATCCGATTGCTCCAATCGCTGTGCGACGGACGGCACGAGAGCCGCACACGCTGCATTGATTTACCACTGACCTTGCTGTTTTCCGGCACATAGCCGCTTCTGGTGGACAAAGAAGCGGCCGCAACTGACCTCACTCACTCACTCCCCCGCTCAATACATGCAATACTTAGATAAACACCGGTGATGGCCTACCTACCTACCGCCGTCCCCTTCCCCCCCACCCATACATACATACATACATACACTTGGACGACTGGCGGCTCGGATGTCTTGTGCGTCACGCTTGCCATGTGGTGGGCCAGTCGGGCCTACGAGCATGGTAGGCCCGACTTGCCCACCACATGGCGTCAGTCACACACAAGACATGCGATCCACATGACAGACAGAGAGACAGACAGACAGATTGGGTTCCCACCCACTCTGTCCTGCACACACGTCTGGGAGCTTCGGGCTTCGAACTCATCAACCGGCTCCCTCCCCCCTCTCGCACGTCACACACACATCCAGCCGGGAGGGAGCCAACCGACATGTAAGAGACCCCTCCCGACGCACACCGCTGTCCAAAAAAGGGCGGCAAGACCAGGATATCTGTTGCTCAAGCCGTTGCTGGCGACAGACGGCACGAGACCGATGTAGAAAGGCTGCATTTGTATGCCACGTGCAAGGTGCACACAGAAGCAGCCGCAACCGACTGAGGGATCACTGATACTCACACAGCAATTAGAAAAACACTGTGGATGGCCCACCACCTACCACCGCCCCCATTGCCCCCTCACACAAACCCACACAAACTCTCGCGCTCGCTCCATTCTCACCCCTCTGACATGCAGACACACACAGATAGCGAGGCAGCACTCCCACCCCCCATCGCCCCTCCAAAACAATATCACACACATCACACACAGACGCTCTCTCTCGGTCGCTCCCACATCGTTCGTCAGATCCACGGCTCAGGGTATGGCGGTGGGTCGTCCCCCCAGTAGGGTGGCGCGCTGTTCACCCGACCCGGTAGGCCGGCCATGGCCACCATGCCCCACCCGAAGGCATGGCCACTCTCCACCTGTGGCCACGGCCGCCGTCGCCAGAGGTTGAGCCTCTGCCAGAAGGATGGAGTGCTGGGGATCACCGGGGCGGTGTCCGGCTCGGTGATGCGATAGAGCTCGCGCGCCTCGACGGCCTTCTTCTGGCGAAGGGGGTCGGTCTCGCCTTGGTCGTCCCCGGACTGGTTGCGGCAATTGGGGATGAGCAGGACGCTCTCGATCTCGTGGCGGCTGGACGGGGAGTGAGAGGGCAACGAGACAGACAACCAGACAGATGGTTTGCTCTCTCTCGGTCTGTCTGTGGTGAGCGACTCTCTCACCATAGCAGACATCGTGGCCGGCAGCAGCTTTGGTTCGTGGCTGCGGGGTTGGCGGCTCTCTCCTGCAGCGGCCTCATGACCACCTCACTGGCACAACCTGAAATGGCACAAAACAATGACACGTACAATGACTCACAAGCGCACGGGTGGCTTCTCATCGACCGACCTACCTCGACACATGCCCCCATGGCCGCACGGCAAGAAGACAATCTCCCTCCGCCCCTCGAAGCACACTATGCACTGACTCGAGGCATTGTCGGCGTCGCCCGACGGGTTCACCGCTTCCAAGGAAGCACCCGCACCCACACTCACATCGACGTCACCCTCATCCGACCCGGTAAGATTAGACGGCAGGGCGCCTGGAAAGCTGGCAGACCGCGTGCGCATCCCCGGCCCCTCACCGACTGCCATTTGCTCGTCGCCGTCAGCGAGCTGGAGGCCGCTGGACGGGCGGGGCACGAGGTCCATCTGCAGCGGCTGGATCATGCTGTCGTCCTTCACCGACGACCGGCCGTAGAGGTCAAACCGCCCGCCGCGGCACGGCGCGATCGACTGGGTGTGGGTGTGGCTGTGGGTGTGGTTGCTGCATTCAGATGGGGCGGCGTGGTGTGCGGTCGGGGTGTCTGGCAGGGACTCAGTGCTCGACGAGGTGTGGGAGAGAGAAAGCGCCTCTGCAAGCATTCACACACCACACGACACATTCATGTCTGCCTGTCTGCCCACTATATTCTGCAACCCACCCGATGACACGCTCGTCGAGGCCGTGTCGGTCTGGTCGCTCTCCAGGCCCTCCAGCCTCCCAGCAACAGCTCCAGCGCTCAGTGTGGGCAGACCGATGATCGTCGGCGCGGCGACGTCCGAGCAAAGCCGCCCCGTTATCCACGTCAGCCAGTTGAGGCCGTGTGGCGCGCGGCCCTTGTCTTTGGCTGCGGGTCTGAATGAGATGACGTGCTTGAAGAGGGTTGAGTGCTCCTGCTCGAGGATGACGTGCGTGTCGGCGTTCTGCACCACTGCGAATCAAACACACAGACACACATGAGCACAGACGTCTTGAGATGTTTGGCTTGTGTGTGGGGGGTGCCCTCGGTCACCTTTGCCGCCCTCAGGGATGATGTGTGCACCGTCTTTGCCCTCATCGCTCTCCGACGCGACCACCACATAGGGCGGGGCCGCCTCCGCCACCTCCTCCTCAGGCACCACACCCTCATTGCCCCGACAAACTGAAGCGCACAGCAAAGCAACACCCACACACACCGACACACACGGACAGACGGCGCATGCACAACACAGCGGATGAGGTTCCTGCTTGTCTCCACCGGATCCGTGTGTGTGTGTGTTTCGGTGTGCTCACTCACTGCAGTGCCAGAAGAAGAGAAAGACAGTGAACAGCACCGAAGATCCGGCAACCAGCCCCGCCACCAAGCCGTTGCCGGACTGCAGCTCGACAGCTCGGGCTTCTCCAGACGTCGATTTGAAGTGCCCGTGGCCCTGCTTCTGCTCCAGAAGGGCCCGATAGGCCAGCTGCAGGTTCAGTGTCGGATCTGCCTCGGCCACCAGGACAGATCCGGAGAGCAGCAGCAGCAGCATGAGCATCCAAACAAGGCTCATGGCGACGGTGCGCTGCCGCCAACACGCCACGCGACCACAAGGGGTTTCGGGAAAAGGTTGCTTGTGTGCGAGCCTTTTGGCTTTCTAGGCTCGCATCCCTGGATTGGCAACATGAACGACGACGCCCTCTCCGACGCCCAATCGAGTGCCTTCACTGCGGTGCACACAGAGATGATACAACAGGAGATGGCCCGCCATGACCAAGCAGCAGCTCATTGACGAGATCAGCGGGCAGAGAGACGAATACAAGCGGGAGAGAGATGAGTGGAAGCAGCGGTCTCAGCAGGCCGAGGCCGAATGCAGAGACTGGAAGCGGCGGTGCGAGGAGGTATACACAACCAAGCCAAAAGGCAGAGAGAAACACATCTACGCGCTGTCTGTGCGTGTCTGTCTGTCTGCAGGCCGAGGCGAAGCTGAAGGCCTTCGAGCAGGGGCCTTCGTTGGCGAGCCTCCATTGGGAGGGCGGCATGTACCACGGCAATGTCCGCAACAAGATGCCACACGGCGAGGGCACTCTGCGCACACTCGACGGCCAGAACTCACTCTACGAGGGCCAATGGGCGGACGGCAAACGAGACGGCAAAGGCAAGCAATACGCCCCATGCCAACTGGGAAAGGAGACCAAGATCTGTCTCGTGTATGAGGGCGATTTTGTGAACGGCAAGCGACACGGCCAGGGGAAGGCCTTCTACGAGTGGCATGGTCCTGTATTGTGGTTTGATGGCGAATGGCGAGACGGCCTGGCCTACAGCGGCACCCTCTTCCGTGACGGCGACGGGGTTGGACAGAAGAATGCTGACGGCAGCCCTCGGTGGCCCATCAAGCCCATTCGATGGCAGGCCGGACAGAAGATACCCAACACCGACCTGTGTGGGTGGGGATATGCCCTGCATCAGTGCCTGCGTGATCAGGGTGTGTCGGGATATTTCCCTGCTGGCGCACTGTGATAGTGAGTGTGTCTCTCGTGACCGTCTGTTTGGCTGTGTGTGTTTGTGTCTGGAGGTTTGTGTGTTGTGTGTGTCATATGTCTACGGATGTGTCTGTCTGCATCCATTGGGGGGAGGGAGAGAGGCAGTGCAGTGTCTGTTTTATTCGATGGTTTGTGGCCTTACGAGACTCGACGGCTGCGTGCGGTTGTCTGTCTGCCGATGTGTGTCTGAGTCTCTCTTTGCTGTCTGTGTGCGTGTAAGGGGCTGAAAGTAAGTTGATCGGTCAGACAGGTTTTCACACCATGGCCCTGACGACTCTCGTGTGGGTGTGTTTGCTGCACTCTTGCCATTGATTTGAGACCGAAAGTGCATTGCCATGTCGTCAATGCAGTGTCCATATTTTGGCGTCCTCACCTTTGCCACAGCACGGCGGACACACAGAAAGGCATGCATTGTGACGCGCATGTGTAAGTGTGCGGGAAATGTGCACCGCAACCGAATCGTTGGAATGATTTCCACACACAATGCACTTGATGGATCGATGCATGTGTTGCAATGGTGTGTGGTGGTGTGTGTCTGCAGTGACATACGGCACTCACGCCTCCTTCAGTCAGTCATCAGCACATTCGTTGATGCCATTTATCCATCGGCGCCCTGGTGGCGCTGCACTCACTCACAACAGCACCTTCACACACACACACACACACCCATCCATCCATCCATGAATCCGTCCACTTAGCCAGTCATCCGAGGAGTGAGTCACCACATCAACACGCCACCGTCCGTCCACATCCATCAGTGCCACCGACAGGGGCGGCGCTTATGCCGCTGGTGGACACGAAGGGAAGGGGAGAGACGGTGAGGTGCATATGAACACATTGGTAGGTAGATGTGCACACAGAGAGACAGAGAGAGAGTCCGTCCGTCTGTCTGTCAGCAATGCATCTTAGCTACATCCATCCATCCGGATCCAACCAATCCTGTGACTAAGTAAGTATGTCATCCCGTCCACACACATCTATCGGTCGGGCAGGAAGCGGAGAGGCGGTGCATATGGCGTGTGCAGACAGAGACAGAGACAGAGAGGGAGAGGGAGAGGGAGATGGCGAGAGAAAGGGACACATACGCACGCCCCCATCCACCTATTGGCACGCACCGTCACGTCAACACTCACCGTCATATAAAATGTAGACAGCAATCGCATGGACGATGGCAAAGACGCTCAGGCGCTGCGTGGCTCCGTCGGTCCACATCTTGCCGCTTTTGACGGTCTCAGTGACGGTGGTGGTGGTGGGCCTGGGGATGCACCTCAGATGGCGGTGGGTCGTGGCGGCCATCCTGCACAGCACACACATTTAAACGTGTCAGTCAGTGGACGTGCAATCAAACAGTCATGCAGTGCAGCAGAGATGGAAACTGCTGATTGATTGGTATCTATGTACCTCTTGGCTATGTGTCCGATGTAGGCCGACGCGATTTTGATCTGGTGGAACGGATGTGGGCGACCCTGCTTGGCCGCTCGAATGTCTTGTGCGTGACGCTGGCCATGTGCTGGGCCAGTCGGGCCTACGAGCATACAGACAGACAGACAGACAGCCGGTGTGTGCAAGAGAGCGGCCGGCGTCCGTGAGTTGGTCACTTATTATGTACCAGATCGCCCAGAGAGGCCTGACGGGGGCTCTTGAAGACGAACGAGTCACTCAAGTCGCACATGGCGGCCATCCTCTCGTATGCAATCTGAGCCAGGAACAAACCCAACCAAATCAACCAAACCACATGTGTGTGTGCAGTGAGTGCATATGGCCATCGGATCGGTTGTCAAGCTCTTGTCTGTCTGCTCCTTCCTTGCAAGCAAGGCAATTCCGCCCACCCATCTGCCGTCGGGGCCCATGGTGGACAAGTTGAAGTGGTGGGAGTGACTGTTGTAGTGCGGCCCCCATGGGAAATCAGCAAACACCTACACACACAGACATACAGACAGACAGACAGACAGACACGGACACACGTAAGATGGTCGACCATGATGTGTGTGTGGCGGGGACAGATGCACAGAGGCAGGCAGCTTGCTGTGCTGTGCTGTGTGGGCTTGGCTTACCGCATCGAACTTGGCGTTCGGGGGTCGAAGCATCCCCCATATCAGCAGGTGCTTGTCGATGCGGTCGGTCGGTGACCTCCTCAAAGGGCTCCTCGCACAGCATCACCTGCCCCTCACTCATACCTGGTTGTATGTATCGTATTAGCAAAGGAGGGAGGGAGGCGAGACACACACACCCAAACAAACAAACAAAACACACACGCACAAGAATAAGAAAGAAAGAGAAAGTTCGCCGAGTTGGTTGGTGTGGCGTCCTCCTGCCTGCCCACCGTACCGTATGCCTTGTAGAGGTTGGCCTCAGCGATGGCATAGTGGACCGGGTTGACCTCGCAGCCATAGACCTCCAGGCCCTGCCGGGCTAACGCTACCGAGTTGCCCGTTGCACAACACATCACAACACAACAGACACACGCACACACGTAGTAGTGTGGTGGATGGGGTAAATCAAGTGCTCTGAGGGTGTGGGCGTCTCGTCTGCTATCCCTCCTTACCGGCACCGACGCACGGCTCGAAGATCAGGCCCTCCGGGTACACCTTGGCGACGGCCTGTGCGGTCAGGTTGGCGATGGCCTCCTCCGTGACGCTATACCTGAATTAATCAATCATCCATCGACAAACACCCACACCAATGCCACCCACCATACATATGAGTGTGTCGGTCAGCGCACACATGCAGCTCACTCACTCACATGAGCTCCTTTTGGTTTGAGATGTTGCTCATGGCCGTCGGGTTGTGGAAGAGGGCTGCGTCGTCGACCACCTTGACGGTCAGGATTACCTCGACCTTCAGGCGGTCGACGGCCCGCGACATCGGCCGCACTGGCGAGGCGGTCGTCGCTCGGTCGACCGGCGCGTCCCCAGGCGGCTGTGTGGCGGCAACCTGCACAAGTAGTTACATACAGCCACCACGATACAAACCAATTTGTCTTCCATGTCGTCTGTGCCCCTCACCCACCTGATCCGATTCGCGCCCCTTGCCCGTCTCGTTGTGGCCGTCAGGCCCGATATGGTCGTGCTGCCTCACTGGCCTGTGCTCGCCATGATCGTCGGCCGCAACCCCCACACCCACACCCACTCCAGCGCCCCCCCCGGCCGTCCTCGCCCTCCTGTGGTGTGGGCGGGGTGTCGATGACCACCTCCAGGCACTCCACACCGGCACCCGCAGAGACGCTACGCTCGTCAGCAGACCTACTGCACACAGACACACGCACGGTGCGCTTGTTTCTCCCTCCCTCCCTCCCTCCCTCATCGTGTGTGTCTGTGGGTATTCATTGTACCTTTCTGTCGTCTGGTTGGCCCATTCGCCCTCGTACTTGGCCACCCCACCGCCCCTGCCCCCGACCCACTCACCGACGTACACACCCTCGCACCCCTGGCCGTCGCCGGCAGCCTGGAGCACAACACACGCAGCAGAGAGCCGCCGCCACCGACGCACGCCCCGGCGAGTGAGATGGTCCTCGCCGTGGCAGCTGGGGCTGGGCAGGGCAACGCATGGCTCGCTGCCGGCGGGTGTGTGTGTGTGGGGCATGCCGGCGTCTGGTGCGGGTGGGGTGCGCGGCGGGTCGGCTTTGTGGGGTGGCACCAGCAGCGTGGCATCGACCTGCAGGACGCGCTGGGTCTCCTGTGGTGGCACCAGGAAGAGAACCAGCTCGTCCATCCAGGACAGGTAGGTCGGCCTGACATACACAACGTCACCCTCCTGCTGCGACGCGACAACAAACAGTACATAGCACGATCAACACATTCGCTCCTCAGTCGGACCGTATCAAGCGTGTGCGCATCGGCGGGGGCTTGCAGCTGCCGACGGCCCGCTATCTGTTGCCACATCCACCTGACCACACACACAGACAGACACACACGCCATCCGGGCAACATCTGTCTGTCATGACTGTGCGGTGCGTCACATCAATGTGAGCATTAAGGCTGTTCTCTGTTGCACCTCAACGTATCCATGGCTGGCTGCCGCTCAAGGCCTTCCTTCGAGGACACGGACAGATGCTGCCTGGCAGCTGGAGACCTGTCTGCCGGCGTCGGTTCTTTCTCCGGCAGCCTGCAGCACAACACACACAGCAGAGAGCCGCCGTCATCGGCACGCCATCATGCCATCATAGCTCAATGCAGAGCTGCATGAGCGTCGACGGCATTACGGCAGAGGGACCTCTTTTCCCTCACTGCTGTGGGCTGCCCGTCCTCACACTCATACCTTATGGCCGCTTGCGATTCGAACTTCTCGGACGCGTCGAAACCTCTCGAGTTCGGCCGATTACGGCCGGCCCTCTTCGCAAGAATATCACAGCAAGGAAGAGAGCGGATGCAGAGAGCTCACTGAACGCTCCTCGCCACAAAAGAGGAGCCCCAAGATTTTTGAAATATTTTCTTTTTTGTTTGTCCCCCCGTCTCAGATCGCGACGCTCAATGCAACTGTTTTACGGATTTCTTTGCGAGCCCTGAGCTGTGCCGGGAATGCGCACAAGAAGCACAGAAGGGGAAGACTCCCGGAGACCTTGCAACGACGAACAATTGCGGGGAAAAGAGGTCCTGCGATGCTTCAGCGGTCATCCCGGTTGCTGGCCCCACCGGAAACGAAAGGTAAGTAACAGGTCCCTTCCATCCCGTCCTGATTAATCAATGCCCGTTGCTGCTGTTGGTGTGTGTGTTTGCTGCCAGGCTGACTAAGTGAATCTCTTCTCCCACAATTACCCACAATGAGCGAACAGCACACGGACGACAGCCCCTCCGCTCAATCAAGCGCTTACACTGTGGTGGCGGCCGACATCATGCAGCAGGGGCAGGACCTTCAAAGGTCACAAGAGGCACTTGCCGCCCGGCTGACAAGACAAATGGAGGAGCTGGAGGCACGACACCGGGCGGACCGAGCAAGGGATAGAGATGAGTGGCGACGGGAGCGCAGTGTACTTGAGGGCCGTATTCGACAGCTGGAAGCCAACTCCATTATGGTGGGCAGTCTGACCTGGGAAGACGACCCCGAGTATCATTCACAGCCATTGAATGAAAGGTATCGCATCTACGACGGGCAGAAGCTGAATGGGCAGCCCCACGGCAGCGGCACTGTGCGGAAACCTGGCGGGTCTGTCGTATTCAGTGGTGACTGGCAACACGGCAAGAGACACGGCCGAGGGACGGAGTTCCGCGGTGACGGCCAGCTGGTGTACGACGGCGAGTGGGCCAACGGAGAGAAGACAAACAGAGGGGAGGGAAAGGTGGGCTTCATGGAGCTCAGAGACGACAAGGGACAGCTGGTGGGCTACTATCACGGCGAGACACAAGACGGGCAGCCAAATGGCGAGGGGGAACTGCGAGACGGCCGCAACAATGCCGTCTACAAGGGCGGGTGGAAGAACGGCAAACAACACGGCCAGGGAAGAGCATACTACGACGGTTATGGTCCTGTGTTGTGGTTTGATGGCGAGTGGCGAGAGGGCCTGGCCCACAGCGGCACCCTCTTCCCTGACGGCACCTGGCATGGAGTGAAGAATGCTGACGGCAGCCCCCAGTGTCCCATCACGCCCATTCGATGGCAGGCCGGACAGAAGATACCCAACACCGACCTCGTGCCTGGCAGCACACGTAAGCTGCCTCAGTGCCTGCAGGGTCGGGGTCTGTCGGGATATTTCCCTGCGGATGCACTGTGATAGTGAGTGTGTCTCTCGTGGCTGTCTGGCGGTGTTTTTGGATGGCTGCGTTCACAAACAGAAAATCAGACAGATGATGGAGGGCTGAGCCTCTTGGAGAACTGATTGAGTCTCGTGCGGCCGCATGGGTGCCTGGCTGTTTGTGTCTATGTCATGTGTGCCATTGGTCTGATGATCTGCGTATATGCACTGAAGGACAGACAGAGGGAGGGAGAGGCTGCATTGGTGGTGCCTTGTGTTCTCAGGATGCTTTCTGTGTGTCATGGTGTCTGTGTGGATGCAATCTGTGTGCACCGACTTAATGACGTCACTACGTATCACGTTGCTGCCTGCTGTCTGCTTTTGTGCTCGCATTTTCTCAATAAGAGCGTCACAAAATGGAGTCGGTGGTGTGACACTTGGGGCCTTGAATGAAAGGCCCTCACTTCGAAATGCGACGGTTCTCACCGCATCACAAGATTGAAAACATCCACGGATGCATGCAGGTCACACCGAGGCTAAACGCATTGGCCACACGCACACAGACAACACACCACACGGAGCAGACAGACCACCACCTGAGGGCACTTTGGACGGGAGGAAGTGGTATGATCGCGACCCCACGCTGTCTGTCGATCGCATGCCGTGGCACGCCGGCCAGCGTGCGAATTGCCGCGGTTTCTGAAGCAGTGGGTCTGTCCAGGAATTTCCCTTGCTGGTGCACTGCCTGCTGGTGCATCGATGCAGTACGTGTGTCTTATCTGGTGGCTGGCTGGCTGTCAACCTTTTTTTTGTGCGGGTGTGTGCGTTGGTGGCTGCTGCCGTTTTCTGACGCTTTGTGTCTTCATGACCCCTGCCTGTCTGCCTAGCTGTCCTCGTCTCTTCGTCCCTTCATCGTGTCAGCCATGACTCGAGTGAACATGTCTGCTTTATCAAGTATCGTTGGTTGTGATTGCATCTCAATTTCATTGCTGCCCTACGCGCCAACATTCCCACACCCATGCGCCAAGACAGACAAGACGCCACATAAGAGATGAGCGGGCGCCCTTGGGGATGGATGGAAACGAGATTTTGTGCAACCCAAGGCCTGAAGACGATGCAAACCACCCTCAGACGGAGCGAGGCGTCGAGAAAAGCAGATCCACTCGCCTTTGCCAATCGATCGCGATCGACCCCAATGGCGAAGCGAATTTCAGTCATGTTTCGTTCAGTAGGTGTAGATTCCGGCCGTCTGTCCTCCTGAAATGGTCCGTCCGCCGAGCTGAGGCGAGATCTCCCATTTTCTCAGCTCCCGATGGCGGCCACGGCGGCCGGTGGCACGGGCAAGAAGACTCTTGAGGATGACCAGTCGGAGCACCTGGCGCCCAAGCAGGTCATCGACAAGATCCGACTGGATAGGTTTCGCATTGGAGGTAGGATGGATGGTCGGCACAGGCACACACACGCAATCACATGACAGATCTGTCCATGTGCACGGATGTGTGGATGTGTGGGTGTGTGCAGCTGCATCTGAATCATCGTCGTCGGGAGGCGGTCAGGAGACCTTGGTTTGGGCGCTCAACAACGTCCTAAAAGGCGTTGCCGTCAATGTATGTGGCGACGGAGGGAGGGAGGGAGAGAGGAAGGGAAGAAGAGTGCCCATTCTCTTTCTTTCTGGGTGTGTGTGTGTCATCAGGTCAATAGCGAGGCGGACCACTGTGTAGAGGAGCTTGTACAGAACGTCCGGTGCGTCCACATACACACACACACACACACAGATCCATCCATCCATCCACAGACAGACGCGCAAACACATGTATTGCCTTCTGCACATCCCATGCAGCGACGCGCAGCTGAGTCTGCCTGAGGGCGAGAAAGGTGTGTTGGAGATAAGGCTGCTGCGGAGGGACCCGCTCAACTGCATCCACAGACAAGACTGGCTGGACCAGTATGCCCGACACACACACACACACACACACCCCTAGCCACGTGTGTATGCCCACTTTTGTGTGTAATTGTGTGTGTGTGGTGCAGCGACATGGACGCGAAGCATCCTGTGCCTGAGGAGTGCATCCAGGACAGAGGCTGCCTGCTGCTGGTGGGTGCTTGTGGACATCGATCGACAACATGGCTGAGAAAGAATGAGTGCGTGAATGTGTGTGTGAATGTTTGTGTGTGGTCAGGTGTACAATGAGCGGGGGTTCAGGGGCACGGATGTTGACGCCATCTGCGACCTCGGCAGGGTACCACTCATTACTACCCCCCCACTCCTCCACAGAGAGATCTCCCATGTGTGTGTGGATGATGGGTGCATGCAGTCGACCAAGAAGGATGCGGGCGGCAAGTTTGTGGGGGAGAAGGGGCAGGGCTTCAAGAGCGTCTTCAGAGTCGCTGAGTACAAACCACACACAGGCAAACCAGGCGCGCACCTCTCTCTCTCTCTGTGTGTGTGTGAGTGTGTAGGTTCGCGTACATTCTGTCCGACCAGCCGGACTCGCAGTACTTCTTCCGCCAGAGGAAACACGAGCACCCTGATGCCGGCGTCTGGTAACCACACACACACTCCCACACACCAACTAACCTAGAGAGGGAGATGGAGTGGTTGTGTATGTGTTGGCACAGGTTGGTGGTGCCCGACTTCATTCAGAAGGAGAGCATCCCCACAGACATCAGAGAGCTCATCAAGGTGAGCTGTGCATCCAACCTTCTTTCTCACACAAGTGTGTGTGTGTGTGTGTGTGTGGATGGGGGGCGCAGGGCAAGACCTGCATCGCTCTGTCGATCGGCACCCCCGAGAGCAGCAGGGACCCCGACGCACACTACAACACCATCTACGACAAACTCACAACCGTACGCCTCGACCACCCCACCACACACACATATACACACACACATCGGTCCAGCATCACCATTCATCCCTTGTCCCTTGTGTGTTCAGAAGTTGCTGCCCGAGTGTTTCCTGTTCCTGGACAAACCGGACACCATCAAGATCTCCGCTGAGGTGCCCTTCCATCCATCCATCCATCCAGATGCACAGACGAATGGCTGCCGTCGTGTGGGTGTGCGTGCAGAGGCCGGACGGCACTCGGACGGACGAGCGTGTGTTGGAGAGGAAAGTTGTGATGCACAGCCAACAGGAGGGCTACTCGGTGACCCGCCTCACCCCCAAGACACACGCACACACGCACAGAGAGAGGGAACCATTCACACACGCGCCCCCCTGTCTGTCTGTCTGTCTGTCTGTCCGTCCGTGTGCAGTTGGTAGTGTTGTCGTTGCGCGTTGAGGGTGGCGGTGGCGGTGGCGGTGCGGCGGCTGCGGCGGCTGCGAGTGCTGGTGCGGGCGGTGGTCTGACCATCGACCGGCCCTACCTCGTCATCGAACAGACCTTCAACGTCCCATCCAACATCGCAAAGGTCACATAGCCCTCACCCCCTCTCCCCGAGAACACACACACACACACACGCAATGGTGTGTGTGCGTGTGTGTGCAGAACACCGAGGGCCGCAAGGACGCCAAGGAGCGCACCATCTGGGTGGCCATGCTCGTCGAAGAACTCTCCACACTAATGCGTACACACACAGGGAGAGAGAGAGAGATCGCCCCCACACACTAGATGTGTGTGCATTCTGTCTGTCTGTCTGTCTGTTTGTCTGTGTGCACATCAGAGAAGCGCGCCGAGATCGGTCGTCACAAGGCCGCCTGCAGCCGGCGGGACGGCGGCGGCGACCGCATTGCGCTCAAGGACGACACCGAACTGCCGATGGTCTTCACATACCTGCCCACAGGCAAGCCCACACACACAGAGAGAGGGACATAGGCATATGTGTGTGGACCTCTCTCTCTGTGTGTATGTGTGTGCAGATCAGGAGCGCACTGGCCTGCCCGTGTTGGTCAACGCTGATTGGCGGCTGGTGGCTTCGCGTAAGCAGCCAGACCTCATGGGGGTGCGTGTGTGTATCACTGCGAGTGGGTGTGTATATGTGTGTATGTGTGTGCAGGTGAGAGTTGTTCTACATCTGTGTGGAACTTCTGGCTGGCGGGCAACATCAGACACGTCTACACCAAGGTCAGTCCGCCTACACCCACACAAGTGCGTTGGTCGATCACATCTGTGCGGCTGCAGGGTTTGCACGTGCTCTCGTCCCTCCAGCAGTACGCCCACCTGCTGCCGCGATTCATACCCATGAGGTGCCTCTCCCCACCTCCCCTCCACCCTCCACACACATACCTACACCCTCTCTGTGTGTGTGCGTCTGTGTGTCTGATGGCATCGGCTGCAGCAATGTGCGCGACGTGTCGCGAGTGTTTGATCGCAATGAGGACGAAGATCGGCCGATGAGCGTCGCCGAGGAGATACTCAACGGACTCAGGTGAGCCACACCTCTGCACGCACACACACAGAGAGAGAGAGAGAGAGATCCGCGCCCCTGTGTGTGTATATGTGTGTGTGTGTGTGTGTGTGTGTGTTACTTACAGGGAGGGCAGCGAGAAGCTGCTCATCCCGGGCGTCTTCACGCCCGACAGACGGGCGCTCATCGCGGCCAAGGAGGGCACAATGGCCGACACGGCATTCACCCAGTGGGCCGAATCGCTGCTCGGTAAACGCATTTCGCACACACAGACACATGGACTGGTGGACATGTGTGTGTGGATTTGGATGTCTCTGTGTGTGGTCAGGAGTCGAGAAGGTTGCCGCTTTCTATCGCAGCGAGAAGATCATCTGGCAGAAATACAGCGACAGCACAGACAAATGGTACCCGCCACACACACGGCCACTCACACATTTCTATCCCTCTCTCTCTCTCTCCGTATGTTGTGTGTAAAGGTCGGAGCGTTTGGAGTCGATCGGCGTGCGGGCGGCCACCCCGGATTTCTACGTCAAGTGCCTCAAGCACAAAGACATCAGAACGGTATAAAGACGCACCCACCCCTACACACACGCGCGCGCGCAGAGAGAGAGAGAGAGAGAGGAATGCGTGTGTGTGTGCACAGGCGTTGAAGCGTGCCACTCGTCAGCAGTGGGTGTCGCTGTTTGTGTTCCTCTACGACCTCCCGCACATGACCTCAGAACTCGCAAAGGACGTCCCTCTCAAAGTGGTATGTCTCCGTATCATCACACCACACCTTGTGTGAGTGGATCTCTCTCTCCCTGTGTGTGTATGTGTGTGCATGTGTGCAGCGTGACGGCACCATCACGACCCACGGGAGTGTGTCGATCTACTTGCCGGGGGCGGCGGCCGTCAGCAGACTCGACAAACTCCCCATTGAGGTACCCAATGAATCTGTGTCTTTGTGCACACACAAACGCCCATTCCTCTCTCTCCCTCTCTGTGTCTCTGTGTCTGTCCTTCTGCAGGGCATGCAGCCCAACTTCCTGCACACCGACTGCTACCCATCGGCCGCCTCAGCTGATGATGGCGACACCGACATGTCTGGG